TCAATGCTACACACCATGCTTTTAATTTTTATCTCTTAAGGGAAGAATTGTTTTTCATATTTAGAGAAACTGCACAATTGGTGAGTATGATTTGCTCGCAGTCTTGTCATTTCACAACAGTTTAAGTCTGTTTATTGTACACATCAAAGCTAACATTGTCATTGAGATTGATGCAGTCAGTGTGGATTAGAAATACAATAATAAATAGGAATACATTTATTGAAGCCATCACTCATCTTAAAAGCTGTACTTTAAAATCGCAGAGCTTAACAAACTGTAGAGTTACTGGAAAATGAAGGCATATTGCATATTCATCGTTGGCATTTAAAGTCAGTGTTGTCATCTCGTGAAACGATGACCACCTTTGTCAGCTTGGTGCTAACTAGCGGCGCTGCCAAGAATTAGCAGACGCCAACTGTCACAGGCCAGTTGGCGCCTTCTGCAGGGAGAAGGCATAAAGGTACTGAAGGATTGGTAGAACGGATGATAGGATAATGTGAGCATTCAAAGCAAAATCAAGCTACCTGATGTGAAGACATTCCTTCCCTATCTTCTATCTTTCTGTCTTGGAAAGTAGATGCAGTAATTGATCCTGTCATATTTTTTTTCCAGTTGCTCAATGTGATTCCTCCGTGGCAATGGAGGAGAAAGTACAAGAAGACAATTCAGCATAGCTTTGAAAGCAGCACATTGTTCACGAGGGGTGTTTACTGTCTGTCAGCAGTGGTGCTTGGCAGCGGTGGCTCTGTGTTTACATAAGTGTTCAGTGTGATGGAGCAAGCTGGTTGAAGTGACAGCAGATTCCACAGAGAGGTTGACTGAGAAAGCTCATCTGCTGCTGAACATGCATGGGGGCGGGAAGTATGGGAGCGTTCCAGGATCCCTGCAACTCCCTACATGTGCACACAGTGAAAATTGGAGGGACTGCTTCTTTCGAACCTTAGGAAGACTGCCTTTAGTCTGTTAGAACTGAGTGATACAGAAAAAATGTAATACTTAAAACAATATTGACATTATTGCAAAGATAGCTTTCCTGCAAAAAATATGAAATAATCAGCATGTGAGCAATGATTAGATTCCAATACACTGTAATGTAGCTGTCAGCAGGACTTTGGAACAATTATAAATCCATAACTGGATGCTGGTACATAAACATATGATAAATGACATTGATATCACATGATGTGAAATATTTGCTCATAGGAAGAATATTCTAGTTTAATAATTAATAGAATAATAAATACAGTACAGTACTTGATGAAATATGTCCTTACATCTGCTTATTACGAATTTTTTTTTTTTTAATGAACAACCTATATGTTTGCATTCTGCTTGTAAATGTGGGTGTTGTGGGTATGACTGAGAATATAATGATAATGATATAATGATGAATATAATGACTGTAATTAATCATTGCCGGGTGCATCATCCTAGGTCTTAATGACAAATATAGAATGTTTGGATGCTAGTTAGGGAGCTATTCTCTGACAGAGTCCATGGGAAATGACAGGCTAGCTAAACTAATCCGTCTTCTCTTGATCCAGGGACGTTGTGAAGGAAAATGTGGATGTAAACCTGCATGTACACAATGTTTCTGTAGAGAAACTGCATCAATCTCATTTGTTTGTATGCCTGAAAAATGTGGAAAATGTTTGGATAAATTAAGTGGCCAAATGTAACAAAGTACATTTATTAGTTAATATTATTTATTATTTATTATTACTGTACTTATGTGTGAAATTGAGGTAGTAGTACTCATTTATGCCACTTAAAACTTCTGCTCCACTACACCTGAAAGACAAATATTGTCCTTTCTAATCCTCTACATTTGTCTGACAGCTTTTAGTTGCTAATACAATGCATTGCTGATTAAAGCCTTCAACAGTATATGAAGTTAAACTTAGGTCAGCCTTAAAAATGAGCAAAATGCAATATACACATTAATTCAGAAGTAATATTAATCCCAAAATATCATAATAGTGAAACACTGACTGGTAACATTTTTATGCAGAATAAGTACTGTTATTTTTCATACTTAAGTAAATTTTGCTGATTATTCATACTTTTACTCAAGTCATGTTTTCAAAGCAAGATTTTTATTCGTAGTGGAGTGTTTTTGCAAGGTTATATCGCTACCTTTACTGAAGTAAATGAACGAAATACATCTAAATTCCTTCTTTGGATAAATTGAAAGAAAAGGTTTTGTTTTAGAATATTGAAGTCAGTCAGTCACCAACAAGGAGCGACTGTGATGTGTTGTAAGTGGAAAAGTGTTACTGATTTAAAGACCACACAACCCTCTTCCTCACCATCACCTCATCTTAAATTTAATCTGGGGAAAACTGGGCAATTTATTGCATTAATCACAATGGATTAGCAAGCTTCATTGCTTAGTCACGCTCACAAAGCCCCACTTCAAAGCCTCAGCTGCATTAGCCACTGCCCTGAATCACACACACATAAAGCTGAACTTAGCACCAACACCACCACCCCAGCCAGGGCCTCAGCTCTCCTTGGACGTTGAAATACAGCACCAAGGACAAACACACATAGTGTTCTCAGTAAAATGTCTTAGCCCTCTGGACCCTGTACACACTGAGGGACGCTCATCTCTCTGTTTATCTGTGTCTTCCCTCCTTTCCTCGTTTCTTACATCCAAACACAGAGGACAATGGACTGTAAGCACACAATAGTTGATTTTCAAGCTCCCACTCTGTTGAGCATGCTTATCCTTTAACATACTAATGTTTTCTCAGCAGCTATTTTTCAAAGGCTTCTAAAAAAAATATTACTGTCACTGCCCTTTTTTATTTTCGAGTATGCCTGGCATTTGAATCAGCCTGATCTCCTCTAATTTGATCAGTTATTAAATTCTTCATGCCAACAATTCTTCCATAATGCAACATGCAAAGGTCATTAATTTCAGCTCTGTTTGTTTTGCAGGCTGAACAAAAGGACAGGGTCTTATCCACAAGTGAAGACCCTCTCCCGTGCCTCCACAACTCAAAGGCTGACCCACTTCTCCGAAGCAGACCCCTCAGTGATATATATCCAAACCAGAGCTACGCTGACAGAAGTTCAGTCCCTTATCTCCTGTCTGGATGTAGCTCCCAGGTCCAGCCGATAAGTGCAGGGCCTCACGCTGAAGAGAGCAGATTGAATGGCCTCAACTCCTCCGCCTGGTCCAACCCTGAAGGAAAGCCTTCCTCCTCAAGAATTATGAGGCTTTTTTCTAATTCAAGGAAGGGCCCTGTCAGTGCTCACAATCCAACTGCTGACAGTCCAACCACAGCCCACAGCAATGACGGCAACAGCAACCCCCAGTCGTGGGCAGGAGTTCCAGGTTTGGGCGTTATGGACTCCTTCAAAAAGCTAAAGTCATCTGTGCTTCAAGGCATTCAGAGTAGAGGGGCAGCAAGTAACGATGGAGAACATGTACCTTTATCTTATCAGGAAACAGCTAATGGCACAGTTGTGAACAATGCTGAATCAGGTCTAGCTGATGCAGCAAATCATTTAAAGGTTCCAGAAGGATATAATGTGTCTAATGGAAATTTTGGGGAGCAAAAGTTGGCTGCGATGAACCAATACAGTTCAGATATTGAGGACTATGATGATGAGGAAAATGAAGGAGATGGCCTCACACGCAACTCACGATTCTCCAGAAGTATAAGGAGAGCGTATGGAGCAGGACGCATCTCTCTACTTGACATTGGGAATGGGAGGCAAGTAGGAAGAAACTCAAATGAAGCTGTAGGTACCACACAGAAACCAGATCAGACATCTAATTTCAATGTCCAAACGGAGAGCATGAATGGAAACACAAATGTGACGGTGCTGAGCAGACTGAGCAAAAGTGCAGAAAACCTTCATATATTTAAGGCACCTTTTAGACGCAAAGCCCCATCTCCAGGCCCTCCTTCCCTACAGGAAGACTCCCAGAGGACTAACACATCAAATGGGACATCCAGCATCCAAAGGGCTGCCAGCGCCTCCTCTGTGGACCTGCAGGGACACGCTCCTAGCCGCGGGAAGAGCCCAGTGAAGACCAAAGGACCGATGCTGAAGCTAGTCGGCAGCATGACTGACCTAACTGTCCGACGCAGGAGAAGTCCCTCCCCCAGCCCTACCTCTGCATCTCCCATGTCGCCCTTGAGCCGTCTCCATGACAACTACTCCCGCCGTGTGCCTTGCCTCCAAACCAATGAGCGGCAGCGCCGACCAATGCCTGCCACAGCTCAGGCCATGTCTGTCGAACACACTCTTCTGATTCATCACCAGCCTGAACACGATGTCAACCCACAGCCGCATCAGGTTATTATGAGCCCTCCTACCTCGGAGCCCCCAGAGACAACAGAGCAGATTTCACCTGGTGTCTCTGCTCATCTTGAGTCGCAGGTTGTAGCCACGACAAGTGGTTATAAACAGATGGTTGAATGGGAATCATCCATACTCAGCCAAACAGAACCTTCACAACAACAAGAGCAGACTGAGGGAAACTCACTACCAAACGAGGTAAGATGGCAAATCATGCATAAAGATGAGTCTGATGTGAAATAATCAATTTTCTTTGCACATAGTCTATAGGGGTATTTCTCATTTTGCAGTCACTGTTTCTGTCTCATTTTCCTTGCTCATTGACACACGAGATATTCTGATAGAAAAATTACATCAAGCTAGGATGCAATTGACCTGTTTGATTACAGAGCATCTCACTGCTTACAAATTAATAAAATGTACTGCTGCTAAAAGACAACAAAAGTGCAACATGTTTCACACCAGCAGTACCCTTTACCAATACATACAGAAGCATGGGATTAGAAGTCATTAGGATGGCGAGAAATGAAAGATTTACAGGAAAGCTTGTATCTCTTATCATACAGAACAGCGTGATCCTTAATAGATGCCAGTTACCCAGCTGATTGGCATTGACCCTTGTCTTTGGAAATGAAATACCACTCCTCTCAGTTTGAAGTGATCTTTGAGTCTGGCATGATTCTGGCCTATTAAGATAAGTTCTCATGTTGACGTGACACTTGTCAGTACGGTGCACGTATGCTAAAAAAAACTGTGAATATGTAGTTCAAAGTCTCCTAGAGTGTCAAATAAATAATGTCCCAGTCAAAACTTTGATTTACCCTCCTTTTGCTGTCAGTTGTCTTTGATTTCTGACTTCTGCTGTAGCAGAAGTCACATGCTTAAACCGGCTGTTTAATGCTACCAGTCACACTGAAGGAGCAGAGAGAGTTAATGATTAGGCTTTGTTTATGATTAGTGGCCCTTGCGCAAAACAGCTCCATAGTCCTGTTGCTGTGGGAGGGTAGCCGGCTATGCCGGAGTACAGCAATCGCTCCCCCTTCTCTCTAGATGGAGCCCAGTGGATCAAAGTCCAGCGCCATGAACGCTGGGCCTGGGACAGCTAACAGCACCACCAAGTCGACTGAGCCATAAACACATAATTTTAGTAAAACGTGTTTTGGTTTAATAGTGGGATTTTCTCTCTCAAGATGACCTGGAAAACGGATTTGTTTACTTTAGGAATCAAGTGACTTTTACTGGCCTCCAAGGGATTTAGGGACTTGGCCTTGGGACCACAGGCCTGTTTCTGTGTTTGTGTGGGGTTCACAATGGTACTGGTGAACTGCATTCCTTTCCAGTGTATATGCCGGGGACCGGACTCAGATCGAGAAAAGCAAGAGGTGAGGTTTGGTTTTGCTGACTGACTAAAAGACTTAGAGCAGTAATTTCCAAGTGAGTAACCATTAGCCAATATTTGACAGTTACGTATACAGTGCTTGTTGACATGCAGACAATGTGATAACATTTAATCGTGGAATATTTGTGCAATTTCTGTTGCAGTTCTTGTTTGAACTTGATTAGCACAGGGGTCGATTGTGTTCAATATGTGGAGTCAGTGACTGTGTGAACAAGAATCCTTTCACACGATAATCAAGTTTCTCCTGAGAATCCTGATAAAGTTTATGTAAATAGCTCTGCACTGATTCTTGCACTTCAGCACTCAGATTCAACCAGAACAGTTGTTTCTATGTGTCACTTTTATGACTTGTAGTGCAATTTTTTGCTCTGTTTCTGATTAACAGGTGTTCTTACCAGCAGACATGATGTTCTACATCTCTGTACAGCGCGGGTTATTGAACAGGGGAAAGTCGATATCATTGCCCTTGTTAAGGTTTGAACTTTTCCCTTTGATCCATAGGTGACATCAGACCAGCAAGGACGAGAAGCGCTTCTCCAAGCAGAGGAAGTCTCTCCGACAACCAGCAGCACACCTCCTATCTCCCCAGCATCGCTCCCAGAGTCGCCTATATCGTCTACATCACCCACAGATGCAGCCGCGGCTTCCACAGAAACATCCACCGTCAAGCCAAGAAGAAGAAGTGGCCGTTTGAGACCCCGGCCCGTCTCTGACTATGGCCAGCTGATTTCCAGAAAGCAGTCAATCCCAGAGGATGCCGTAGTGCTGCATACCGAGGAAAGGACAGCAAACTTGCTGCTGCTTAAAGACTGCAGTGGTAATGATGGGAATGAAGAGAGTCCTGAAAACTGCAGCATGAATGGCGACAGGAGGCAGCGGCCCATATCAGTGGTGGGAACAGTTGATGTGTTCCCCCCCAATGCTGAGCTGAAGGAGGACCGCCTTCCTTCTGTAAGCATTGACCTACTAAATGTATTATTTTATAACTATTAAGGTCTCTTAGATATAGAGTTTTCTTGATATATTACTTCAGTGGTAAAGAGCTGAACTAATTGTTGATGCAGGAAAATCTACTTGCCAAAAAGGAAACCCAAACAATTAAATTCCTGATTATACTTGATATATTGTAACTTACAATAAATCTCCTTTAACTATATATGCATGTAAAACTAACCCTTGACTCTTCTGAAAAAGAAAATGTCATTTATGAAATATTTTTTTCTGCCATAGAGACATGATGATTACTGATATTAGTATCTGTTGCATATTAGCCTGTATACTGTATATTTGTTTACATAGCAATAGGTATTCATAAAAACATGATGCTTTTCACCACTTTTTAAGCATTTAAATCAAAAGCCAGCTCAATCTAAAATAAAGTAAAACCTTCAAATATTGAGCTGAGTTTATACAGTGGAAAAGACAAGAAGTTGGAGAACCTCATTAGTTAAAGACATCGAACATTAACCACATCCTCGGTTCAATTTAGGTGGGAGACTTTTTTTGTTTCATGTCTCCTTCAGCTACCATTTTTTGCTGCTTATTACTAAGGTCTGTAATAATGGCTTAAAATACCCCAAAATTACCCTAAAAAGGACAAACAGCCAAAAATAATAGATCACAGCCTTGAATGTTACTTGTTAAGATGTCGCAGGTTCTGTTATTCCTGCATTAGAGTAATCCATCAGGTAGGTGGTGAAAGCAGGAGAAAGTGAGCTCTTTCTGACTCCCAGGATGTTTTTCTCTTGTTCTCTGCAGCCTTTGTCGCGGCCACCAATCCCCTCCCACCAAGTGCCCCCCTACAGAGGAGTGTCTGCCAGGTTTCGTCCCTCCGCCCTCTCCCAGAGCACCCCCATCGGACTGGACCGCGTGGGGCGGCGCAAACTCCACAGAGTGCTCAGTGGTGAGAACCTGAGGGTTGTTTGTGGGTCACACCATTTCACAAATTTTTATACTGTGGGAAAACCGGAGTGGAGGAAAATGTTGACATAAAGCCAGGTGTCGGCGTGCCTGCATCTGGAGCTTGTTCATCACATTATCTCAGAGAGTCTTCAGCTCCATGCACTTCTGTAATCTCTGCATACTTGTTGCAGATGGTGTGTCTGAGTGCTCGGCGATACTTGATGACAGCGTGAGTGAGGAGGAGGAAGGCAGCTTTGATGAGCTCACAGATGGCACTCCCTACCTCCAGCCAGGGGTGGAGCTCTCACTTCTCAACGAGGTGAGGCTGAGGGGGGAAAACTTTATCACGTTGCGACATTCACAAGCATCTTCAGGAGAAATTGTGCTTCCAATTTATGATGCAACCTTTATCTTGTTGCGCATCTGCCTCGTGAAAAGCCATGTGAAAATGTTTTTACGCATGTGTTTCCAAGATGTTTGGCCACATTTCAGCAGAACAGACAACCACCGCAGTGTCCACAAGTCTAGACATAATCTTACATGTTAGACATGGGCTTAGCCTCCTTGTAATTGTATCTTTATCTTATCTGTGTGTGTGCTGCTCAGTGGATAAGCTTAGGCCACACGGTGTATGCTGAGGCTCTCTGGGACCATGTGACCATGGAGGAGCAGGAGCTGGCCTTCAAGGCTGGAGATGTTATCCGTGTCCTGGAAGCCTCACATAAGGACTGGTGGTGGGGTATTGGAGGTGACAGGGAGGCCTGGTTTCCCTCCAGCTTTGTGAGGGTAAGTGGACTTCCTGACCTGTGTGCCCAATGCATGTTTGCTCTCCAGCAGCACAGAAAAGACTTAAAAACTGGCTTAGCTCCAGAAACAAGCCACAGCAGCCCTCTGAGAGGTCAGACCACAGAGCTTCAGCTGGTTTCTGTGGTGACTAGAACTGATTGACAGTTTAGTCTTAATTAGGCAGGCTGTGGTAACCATGGTGAGGTCATTTGATTGAAGGATGGGCGTCTGCTGTGTAATTGCTTATAGTTGAATTAATGTTGTCAAACAAGAGCTGGTTAAACTTGTACATGTTGTTGGCATAGTATTGTGGAGTAGATCTAACATACTACAACTAATCATAGACGTGTTTTGCTGTTGAGTCTTTTGTTGTTCAAGTAGTTGTTGTTTTTCCTTTTGCAGTCATGTTTCTTTTGCTTTGGGCGTCTGTGTCTGTCCATATCCTACAGCTTATAAGCTTCAAATTTGTATTTAATTTCATTAAATGCACCATATTTTTTTGGACATGTTTTATAATTTTGCAACTAGAAAATTAGTTTGTCAAATATGTTTTGTAAAGCTGATCCTAACTTAAAGTTTGACCTAAACAGAAAACTTGTGATTTGAATGCTGCTCAGGAGCTCCTGTTGTGTTTGCTGTGGATGTGTTTCAGGTGCGTGTGAACCAGGAGGACTCGAGCGCTGAAAGTGTGGAGAGTATCGCGGATCAGGAAGATCCAACTCCCAGGGACACACACAGCACTCATCACAAGGAGCAGATGAGAACCAATGTGGTTAAGGAAATAATGAATACCGAACGTATTTACATCAAACACCTAAAAGACATCTGTGAGGTGTGGGCTCCAGTCAAACTACTCCATTTAAGTCTCTGGCTACTGCTTCTTTGTCATATTTGTACTTTATTGAATTTAGAGCTAGAATTTTATTTCTTAAGCAGGGCTACATTCCAATAAATGTCAAATATTTCCAATAACCTTGTTTTCCAGAAATTACATTAAAAGATTAAAAAGTCAAATGTTTTCCTCAAATGTTTATCTCCACTGTGCAGCACCACCTGTTGGCCAGTATTTAAACTGTTCATGTTCTCTGTGTAAATATCCTGGTTTTGTGTGTGTGCTTCAGGGTTACATCCGTCAGTGCCGCAAACACCCTGACATGTTCACCGAGCTGCAGCTGAAAACCATCTTCAGCAACATAGAAGAAATCTATAGGTTTCAGAGGCAGTTCCTTAAAGAGCTGGAGAAGAAGTACAACAAAGATGAACCGCATCTCAGTGAAATTGGCTCGTGCTTTCTCATGCAGGTAGTGGCCATGGATAAAATCCTCGACAATTCACTTAGTCAATGTTATTTACCAGTTTTACTGACTCAGTAACTCTGAATGATCACTGAATGTCTGTCTGTTTTCTTAAGGGGGAGGGCTTCTCTATCTACTCAGAATATTGTAACACTCATCCAGAAGCCTGTGCTGAGCTGCACCGCCTCATGAAGTTGGGGAAATACAAGCATTTTTTTGAGGCCTGCCGCCTCCTCCAGCAGATGATTGACATTTCTATAGCTGGGTTCTTACTCACACCTGTCCAGAAGATCTGTAAATACCCCCTGCAGCTCGGGGAACTGCTCAAATACACCCCCAAAGACCACAGGTATGCTAAGGCATTATTATTCACATCTCTACCATTTTCACCACTTATTGGCTGTTTAATTGTGTATTTGAAGCATCTATACCTCACTATTTTCACCTCATTTCCACTTAAACACATACGTTATATATTTCATAAGCCATCTTCATTAGTGTGCCCACTGTCATTTGTTAGCACTACAACAACTACATCTTTTGTACATTGTATGCTGAAGATGGCTTCAGTCAGTGCTGCTCAGTAGCATCACCATGCTTTGACTGCACATTGCAAAGAAAGCTTGTTGTTAGAGCCTAGAATCAGCTGCTATGAATCACTTCACTGGCCACCAGTGGTCAGTTCATTCATTACCTCATGAGAAGTTACAGGAGTATGAATAATGTTTAAAAACATTTCACCTTAAACAACCCTTGGTGGCCACAGTGGTTTGATTACTTACTTTTCCATAATTGAGATTGAGGCAGTGTGTTACTGTAAGTGTCCTTCAGTTTATGTCTGCGCTCACTGATGCATCACTAATTTATTGCAGTGACCATAGTGGAGTGAGCAAAGCATACGAGGCTATGAAGAATGTGGCCAGTTTGATAAATGAGCGGAAGAGACGGCTAGAGAGTATCGACACCATCGCTCATTGGCAGGTCGCCATTTTGCACTGGGAGGTGAGGCCAATTACTAATAAGTGTATCTGGTTTAATTCTCTTTTCTTTTTTTTTCAATCATATGCTAACAATTTTTATTTCTGCTGTATACATTTTTGACTCAAATAGGGACCTGATGTGCTGGAGCGCAGCTCAGAGCTAATCCACTCTGGTGAGATGACTCGAACTGTTCGGCAAGGCAAAATGCAGCAGCGCAGCTTCTTCCTGTTTGACCACCAGCTAGTCTACTGTAAAAAAGACGTCCTGCGCAGAGACCTGCTCCACTACCGGGGACGACTGGATATGGACCAGACCGAAGTGGTGGACGTGCTTGATGGGCGGGACTCGGACCTGGGCCTGACCCTGAAGAACGCTCTGCGCCTGCGCAACTCCTCTACTCTGGAGTTTATGTGTGTGCTGTGCTGCAGGAAGGCCGAGGACAAGCAGAGGTGGTTACAAGCCTTTGCCAAGGAAAGGCACAGAGTCAAAGAGGACCAAGAGATGGGTGAGTCCAGCTGAATTCCTTTCACTCAGAACACAAACAGCCACTGTTGACAGATGTCAAGTAAAAGGTGAACGGGGTGACAAAAATTGTCGGAATAAAGTGGGTGGTACTAAATATTTTGACCTGAAGGTGCGTTTGTGTGTGTGTCTCTTGGCAGGAATGGACATCAGTGAAGAGCAAAGAAAACAGGCCATTGTTAATGCCAGAAGAGCCAAACAGGGGAAAATCAAAAGTAAGGAAAATACTTAATACTATTAAGCTGCTTTTTATTATTATTGTTTTTGTTTTTTTTTCTAATTTGCTTCAAAACCTCATTTGTAATTTAGATTTTTGTGTTGCTTTTCAACTTGTAGAACTTGGTTACTCTGGTTCTGTCTCACCACACCACCAAAACCTGCACCAAAACCTTCACCCACTTCACCAGCGCCACATCACCATTCCAACCAGTGTGCCTCAGCAGCAGGTCTTTACACTGGCCGAACCCCCAAAGCGAAAGCCTTATCATCTGTTCTACAGCATCACCCGCAACGCCTTTTTCAGGAAATGAGGCTTTGCTTCCTCCTCTTTTTTTTTTTCTCTCTCTGCATGTTCAGAGCATACTCAAACCGTCCTGAAGTCTCAAAGAACACTTTATTTTTCCTGTGTTTTCCTGCCTGTGAATGTACTGTCAAGCTGTATGTTTTTGTGCCTCATGTGTCTTTCGTAATGTTTCTGTTTTGTTTGTTGCATGTTGAAACTCAGTGCCTAAGATTAGGAAAGGGCATGACAAAAGTGTTAAAATACTGACTCTGTCCAGTTTGTTGGTGTGTTAAAGATGCTGCTCACACAAAAGAATCCCATCCTTTTGTCTTATTAATTCCAACTGAAGGTTTTTTTTTTATTTTATTTTATTTTAATTATGACAACGATGTATATTCTACGTTGACAAACATGGTTTTAGTTTATTTCACAAAGGCTGGACCCTTTTTTGCTGCGAGTCTGTCAGCTCTGAGCACAAAACAGCCAGAGGATAAATTAACTGACACATACACCCACCCTGTTAACATTGTAAATAAAACTCTTGTACAAACTTACATCATGAGAATGTTGTCACTTTACAATAACTCCGCCTCCTTGTGCGGCTAGCCTATTATTACCAATCAAGTACTTTGTTTGTGACTGGTGAATATTAGTTCATGTGAATTTGATAGAAGGTAGCGATGGAAGATAATGAATGAAACCTTAGCCACAGGGCTGGAGGAGCTATGTTGGCATCAGGGAGTTCACTGTTTCTCCACTGCTCATCTGTGCTGAAGGATCTGGTTTCAGACACCTGTCGACTGTGGATCCAAACAGTGTGCTGTGTGGCTGTACACCAGTTGAATCTACTGCCGTTCACATGTGACAATTTTTTGTTCTAAAGGGGGAAAAATGGATCTAAAAAAACAAAAATCAGGAAGTAGATGATAGTGGCTTGAAGGGATGCCTGTGTCATGGACACACAGTGCGAGGAGAACAACCAGACAAGCGGCGATGTTGATGCATCTCAACAGGACGCTGCCAGTGTAAGTAAGATATTTCCTTAACTTGAATATAACTAGCCAGTTGTGTAGATTTGTGTAGCCATAACTGTTTAAGTTGAATTTTGAGCAGTAATAAGGCTGTTCTTCCAGATTAAACCCTGAAGATTTGAGTGAATGTAAGAGGTCCATTTACACATCAAAACCTAAAGTCTGTTAATTTGTTACTTGATTAAATATGTTTAAAATAAATGAAACCATTACTTTCCTATGGGAATCTATACCCTGCTAACCAGTGATGGATTAACTGCCAGTTGCACAGTATGGGATGACACTGAATGAATAAATCATGTGCATCGGGTAACTTAATGAGCGTTACATCTGATGGAGTTGCTCTCAGATATTCCCCTTTACGAGCCGAGGTAACAAGTGAACCTGCATCATTTTCAGTAGACGCAAGCTTATGTCATTGGTGGTAAATCAGCAGCTAACTGTGGCAGGTTCATTTAGGAATCATGTGTTATTCAAACAGTTGCTCCCTCATGCGTGTTTGGGTTTGATAAGCACTGTATTCAGCCTACTGTAATGTAAACTAGCTGACCTGGATGTGGTACAGTGATAAGAGGACGACGGCGGCAGCAAGGTTATGCTCTTTTGATGTTTCTCCAGTTACTTAACCTCCTCGTGGTTCTCACAGAGAGCCTCCGTCGCTCTCTTGTGCCCTTTTGTCCTCAGTCTGAATCCTGAGGGCTTTAATACTTGGTGAGGCATTTAAATTATCAAGACACTTGTTAGTTCTTTTTCATATCATTTCAGCACCATTAACCGCTTCCCAATTAGAATCAGGACATATTGAAATGACTGCTGAAAAGGGCAAGTAAAATTTACTGCTTCTTTGTTTTGCCATTAAATGAGTATGACCCTTCCCCCCTCCCTGGCTGCATAGATTGCAGATGTGTCCGTGGAGGTGGCCACGGTGGATCACACACTGCGGAAGCTGTGCAGGAAGTTAAGGAAGACTAGACGGAAGCCCAAAGGACTCAAGCGGCTGTTGGCCTACCTGGTGAACATCCTGCACCTAGCTATCTTTGTAGCAGTGGTGTTTGTGGTGCTGGTGGTGATCATATGGTTGCTGCTGTGGATTTTTATAAGTGAGTGGGAAAAGGTTCTTACGTCTAAATCTAACAAAATGAATATTTTTCCATTTTTATTTGCCTTTACATAATACTTTTTTATGGTGCTGATTTTATAGACTGCTTGTTAAGTAAAATGCAAACCTGGAAGAGCAGTATGTGACTTATATCAATCTGAAAATGCACCATATAAGTAAAAATTTGACTTGATTCCTATAGTTCACAGGGAAAGTAACACTGCTACGTATTTTGCCGGGATGTTCCGTGTTGCCCATGTGGAGTTTATCCCAGAGTACCGCCAGGCAGAGTCCCATGAGTTTGTGTCCATGGCAAACAAAATACAGCACGTGGTATGCGTTAGTTTAACCCTGTTGTTTACACGATGGTTAGTGCTGATCTGGGGGACTGTACCGTTAATTGATGGTGTCTCGTAGGTGACCAATGTGTACAGGATGTCCTCAGTGGCCAGGCTCTATAAGCAAGCTGTCATTTCAGACCTCAGGTACAGTAGTGGGCCTGTTATTTATCATCACCATAAGCCACAAAAGAAACCCACCTTGTGTTTCTGATTTGGTTTCTTGCTCTTGATTCAAGTTATTAAACTGTAACGTAAACTCTGTTTTCTTTCCCAAGTAACAACAATAAAGGTGGTGTGTTGGTGCATTTCTGGATGGTGTTCGTAGTGCCTCGACTAAAGAGACCTGCCATGTGTGACGAGTGTATAGGGGCCATTTTCAGAGACTCAATCCACACCAGCCTGAAGAACAGGTCCTCTGTCGGCTACCTGCTGGGCCTTGCAGTCGATATAGATTCCATCCTCATCAATAGTACGTTTATGTTTCTGTTCATATCTGAACGTGTTCTTTACTTTGTGCTTTTGCAGTAATTGACTATCTGTCCTCTTGTAGGTGTTCAGCGTTCAGATTTTACATTAAGTGTTACAGGTAGGTAGAAACACTAGAATAGAAGTGAAGCTGCATGTGATATTTTGTTTTCATGAGTTTTCTTTTTCTCCTTCCAGGCTCACAGTGTGTAGATAAACTGTATGCCAACCTTCCTGGGGCTAGAGTCCCTATAAACGTCTTCTCCTCATGGGGTGGGGTGAATTGTCTTGTAAAGCTCACCGCTGTCCCTGGCTCTCTAATCCGCCTGACCGTCACCTCGTTTCACATCGAGCCCAGCGATTGTGTGAACGATGCCCTCATCGTGTATGACGCTCTGCTGCCCATGAGAGGGCGCATTCTGCACAGGTGACTCTCAGTTTAATTCACTTCTATTCCTCCTACAGCACCAACAGCGCTGTTTTGCCACATATTGCATCTGCCATGAAAAAAATCGATGAAACATAAACCTAACATGTGCTGAAGTGCATCTCTGTGCTGCAGGCTGTGTGAGCCGGTGTCCAGCTCCTTCTCCATCGTCTCTACCTCCAATGTCATGTTGCTGTCCTTCAGAATGACTAATGGCAACAAGAGCTTCAGAGGACACTTTGAGGCTATAGCTGAGGAAAGTACGACACATTTACTTGGTTATTTTATAAGCCTGTGACTCATTACAATGAGTTAAGAGTAATGGGATCAATGTGATTATTCCCGTCACATAATTTTCAGATACCCAAAACCTCCTAAAAAAACAAAACATAAAATAAAAAATGAGGAGAGATGTCGGAATAAAGAAACATTTTGTGGCTAAGAAAGACATTTTTGAGCTATTTTTGTCCTGACAACAGATTCTAGGCCATTGTTATGCTGTGTAACATACAGCATTAGGGTCAGGTAAAACTAAAATCCTTAAGTCCAGTGGTAAAAGAAGTGATCAGATCAGTTAACTTATGAAAGTATCAATACAGCTACATAAAAATACTCAAATACATGTAAAACCCCTGCAAAAAGAATCCTACAGTAAACGTGCATATGTGTTAGCAGTGAATTTTAGTTCAAATATTAAAGTAGAAGTACTGGTTTGGTCCTGCTGACTGATATAATATATGACATAACCTGATTATTGATACTGAAGCATCAGTGCAGCATATTATGTTTGGAGCTTTGAATTACTGTAACTACAGTTTTATATACACCAGATAAATCTCAAAAGGGTGAAAAAAAAAAGAAAAGAAGAAAGTTCTGATACACAAACCTTTTTTTCTTTTATCTTTGTTTTTTGCTGAGCTATTGGATTATTTATTCAAATGAAACCATGTGAGGGAACAATCACTATTTGACATCTGAAATGTGACCCCAGCTACACTTTGCTTCTTGTGAGATATCAGAATCCAAAAAGGTTGGAAAACGCTGAATTAGTCTTTAAATCTTCATCTAAATTAATATAGCGGAGGAAATTTTGTGAAACATAGTGGAGTGGAAGTAAGTAAGTAGCATAAAATGGAAATAGTATTACCTCAAAACTGAACTGAAGTACAGTACTTGATTAAATACATGTAGTTACTTTCTACCACTGCTGAAGTCTCTCTCTGTCTCTTAGTATGTGTGTCTCAAATTGAGACCCATTTAGAGCCTGACATCACTGGTCAAATCTACAGCCCCTTCTACCCCAGCATGCTGCCTCCACAGTGCACCTGTACCTGGAAGTTTAAGGTAGACATACACTCACACACACACAAACCCACATTAATTATTCATTTTTATTGACTCTGTGTTTTGTTATTTCACATTAGACTCCTAAATCGACTTTAGGAGTTGCACTGCATTTCCAGAACTACGTACTGAAACCAAAAGACATAAAGGGCTGTGACAGCGGCTGGTGGAAGGTCAATGAAATCATGTATGTGGCTGCATTCATGTTTAAACTATAGATTTAAACAAATTACGTTGTATTTCTCCCATATTTCTGTCAACATTTACAAGTATTTACAACCAGTGGTAATTATCTTATTCACAGTATATCTCAAGGTAATTATCCATGATTGTATTTGCCTGAAATAGACATCCTGTGATGGTTTGGTGATTGCTGCTCTCTTCCCCAGTTTCTGTGGCAGCTACGTTGGACACCGCACGGTGTTCCGGATCGCTGGCCACAGCCCAGAGGTGGAGTTTCGCTGCAGCTCACGTAACTCTGTTCAGCCCTTTCAGGCGTCGTACAGCAGCTACAATATCAGCCAACGTAAGCGGTGCATTGCTACAGTCTGATTCATTTTAACGAGCAGGATGCAGGATAGGAAATGACTAATCAGACATGCTTCATTGTACTTCAGTGTGGATGTGAGTTAATGGCTTTGTTATGATTCTATACATTACAATATACAAGAAACACTTTGCAACTTAATATGAAAACAGAATGTAAACACAAATCTGTTTTTGGACTTCTAAAAAATTATTTTGTAGAACTATTTTTGTTGCTGCTTCGGTGTCGTTCATTGTCACTGAACTTAGTCCCTTAGCGTTTCATTTGGTGCCTTTCAGTCAGTCGCTGCACTCGAAGTATAGAATATAGAAATATAGTAGTGTTTAATGCACTTATTATTTATTTAATACTAAAAAATGATTGAGTTCTACTCTGCATCTCGCTCCTTACCAACCATGTGTGTTCTCTTTTGCGTTCACCAGCTTGTTCAGAGAGCCACTTCTTGTGCAACACAGGATTGTGTGTGGAGAAAAGTCGACGCTGCGATGGTCTGGATGACTGCCAGGATGAGAGCGACGAGGTCCTCTGCTGTAAGCTGTTTAGCAAATTACATAATATGGGTCTTTAAAAGAATAAGCAAAGTGACATTTGGATTACTTGGTTTTGATTTCCTCTCTGTTTCAAGTCAGAAGTACTGCTGACACCAGGAATGTCCTGATTTGATCTGAATTTGACCATTTTTTAACTTTATTAATGATAATTAAATGAGTCAGATCAGATTGAGGCAAGAACAATGCTTAATCAGAACACCCCTAGTTGAGACTTACATGTTAGTTAGCGTGTTTAATCATATTTGACTGTGGAGTCAGTGATGCACTGGAAAATGTTGTGTGTCTTCACAGCAAGGCCCACAAAGAACTGTGGTGGAAACCGTCCATTGCATCCTTTGTTTGTTTGCAATGGAGAGACGGACTGCCATGATGGATCAGATGAAGTCAACTGCACTCAGGGTATGCATTTTCTTTGCACGTTTTTAAAGTGAAGTATGTTTGTCATTTTGCCTTTTAACCACCAGTAACTACAATGTGTTTTGCTAGAAACAACCTGCTCTGCAATCAGTTATCGGTGCAGAAGTGATTATTGCATACTGAAAAAGAACGCAAAGTGCGATGATGTTCCTGACTGTCTGGACCAGAGTGATGAGGCGGACTGTGGTGAGTTCACTGCACTACCTGCTCCTCATGCACACAGTCACAGTAAAAGAAAAAAACTAAGGACATGGTTGCAGATTTTTCATTATTTACATCCACATACATCCTGCAAATTGACATTTTTTTAAAGAGACTCCAAAGCCAACATGAAGTGTGATGCAATGGTTTGAACTGCACATGAACTCTGAGAGATGAAATATATGAATGAATATTAAATTTCTCAAATTATGTTCCTTTGCAGAGTAAATGTCATTTATCTTTAGTACAGTTTACAAGCACATGTTCTCAAAAATAAAAAAAAATCACTCAAGTATGCATGAATTAACTGTTTACAAAGGAAGTAGTTGATGTAAATAAAATGTAATGAAAACACATCACTAGAATGTGTTTCACGTTAGGAGGTTGAATAATTTTTTTACAACTGTATATCTTAAACTATGAATTTAAAATTTTGCTGAAATGCTGTTTGCTCAACCTTTTTATCGTTTCCTCAACTCTCTGCCTTACTACCATCACAGTTATTGGACACTGTGTATCAGGTCTTCATAAATATAAACCAATTCTATGACTCAGTCTAAGCTAGAATCACAAACATTTGCTTCTGCACCACGTGAGTTATTGATTCTTAATGCTGTAGATGGTGCATTGCGATGATGGTGCCTCACCTGCCAGTTCTCTCCCACACCCTTTGTGGTTTCATGAGAAAGTTGTTATTTTATAACCCTCTGAGCTGTGAGCTCCAAACCTGCTGACATGCAGCACTGAGGTGACCCCCGCTCACTGCTGTTATTTTATCACAGATGGGGTCTCAAGGTGATGGGAACAGGCCGGCCTTTGATCACTCCCTGATACTGGGCATACATGCACACATGTACATGCACATGTACACACACTGGCACCAGAGCTTTTTAAGTTTTAATAAGGTGGCAGCAGAGCCACTGGCTGTGGTGATGACTCAGCATGTCAGCATAAGTGGTTAGTGTAGGTGTATAACAAACACCCATGTTGTGTGCTTTACACACTGAAAGAGCCGCAGTGTGCATATATACGTCCCTAATAGATCTATAAACTGAGCATATTAATAAAAGTATAATTGTTTTGTATATCTCTCACTAAGGGACTCTCCTCTCTGTTAATGTCTTGACATTTGCCTACAGCATGATGAGAATAAATATTGCACATGTCAACATATACATACTATAAAAAGTGAGTGTGCCTTAAGGGATTGTAGTATAGACACCTGTATCTGAAAGGCCCAGTCACTGGTGAATCAGTACTTCTGGCTATAACTACACCATGAAGACAAATACACACTCCAAAAACAAGTCTGTTGAGGGAGTAAAGTTAAGCCCATAACTTAGCAAAAACAAAAATATGGCATATGTAATAGTAAATATTTTGAGAGCCGGAAGTTGTCAAAAACTGCAAAACTGAGTGACTGTGCAAGAAAGAGACTAGTGTGGGAGGCCACCGAGACAACAATGACTCATCTAAAGGAGTAACAAGCTTCAGCAGCTGAGATGAAAGAGACTATTCGTACAACAAGTGTTGTCCATGTCCTTCACCAGCCAAAGCTTAATGGGAGCGTGGCAAAGAAAGAAGCCACTGTTGAAAAAACATCATATTAAATGTTGACTAGACTTTGCCAGCAGGCATGTGGGAGACTCTGAAGTCAGCTGGAAGAAGGTTCTTTGGTCTGATGAGATCATCGGTGGACACTAAACACTCCACATCATCACTAACACAACATCCCCATTATGAAACATTGTGGTGGCAGCATCATAATGTAGGGATGCTTCTCAGCAGCAGGCCTTGGAAGGCTTGTAAATGTCGAGGGTAAAAGTCTGAGCCTAGACGTCAATCTTACTGAGAAATTGTGGCTGGACTTGAAAAGGGCTGTTCCCTCACAATTCCTGTATAACCTGACAGAGTTTGAGCAGTTTTGCAGAGAGGAATGGAATAAAATTGCAGTGTTGAGATGTGCAGAGCCAGTTAAGACCCATCCACACAAGCTTGATGCTGTAATTGCTTCCAAAGATGCAATACTTAAGAAATCACTTATTTTACTTTACATATATTTATTTAACTGGCATTGCTTTGTAGGAATCTATTTTCACTTTGAAATTAAATATTTGTATTTTTTTTTTTTTTGTAAATGCTTGTCCAAAAAGCCTAATTAAATTGGCAATGGTGCAATGTTGAAAAGCATATAAAATGGTAAAACTTCCTTTTTTGAAATCCTATCATAGGGACTGTGTACCTTTCTGTATAAGCTGAAGCACACACACACACACACACACACACACACACACCCACACACACACACACACACACACTGTACTCTCCTTTAAAATAAAACCAGTATAATACAACCAGTCCAGCAATATAATCTCTCACTGCATCCTCCTCAGTCTGTGGTCGTCCCTCCCCTCTGAAGAGGATGGGTTTACCTCCAGGCACTCAGCGCATCGTGGGCGGAGTTAACTCGGGGGAAGGGGAGTGGCCTTGGCAGGTCAGCCTTCACTTCACTGGGAGCCTGTACTGTGGTGCTTCTGTCCTCTCCTCTGATTGGCTCATCTCAGCTGCACACTGCTTCAGTAAAGAAAGGTCAGCCACTGATGCACTCCATTCTTTTATTATTATATGCTGGACTCCACTACCGTAGTTGTGACGTGACACCACCAGGTTCACTTCTTCAGGTTAATAATAATGGATGGTTGCCAGGCTTTTTGGATCATGACACCTTGGAACAAATCAGCATCTACCTACAACACCTTGTCACAATTTCTGTCTTACAGAGACCGAGTAGTTTAATTATTATTATAATTAGTTGAAATGTATTTATTTATTTACACACATGTGAGTGTGTTGCAAAGAAAGAAGCAACAATAACAGGGAGGAAAGAGATGATACAATAATACTTGTAAAATATTATTACATTTTCCTCAGTGAGAATTAAAAAATGTTTTCTATTCCCAAAAAGAAAAAGAAAAATCTATAAACAGTATACAACAAATTTGTACCTGAGCTTCTCATTGCAATAGTGACAAAATAAAAAGGACTTTTTTCTAATACTATCCATTTATATTTTTAACTTATTGATTTTAATCATTATCAAGATTAATATACCAATAATGTTTCTCCATCACCTGACACTTTATTACATAACAGGTCTTTTATTGTGTTATTAAAAGCAATCACTTCATTTGACAATTATTACATTATCAACTTGCAAGGATACTGTCTCATCCTACTGATTTTACAGATAAATTTGTCATTACATATTAACTAATTAGATCCAGTGAATTTGAATAAAATCTTCTCCTTCACCCCTTACCTCTGACTCTGCAGGCTCTCTGACCCACGCTTCTGGAGCGCCCACCTCGGCATGCTGACGCAGGGCAGTGCCAAATACGTGGCGGAGATCCAGCGGATTGTTGTCCACGAGTATTACAATGCGTACACATTTGATTATGACATCGCTCTGCTGCAGCTAAAGAGGTCCTGGCCTCCCTCCCTCAGTCCACTGATCCAGCCTGTGTGCCTGCCGCCCTCCTCCCACACCGTCACCGAGAGCCACCGCTGCTGGGTCACCGGGTGGGGGTACCGATCTGAGAATGGTAAGTGAAAACTTCAGAAGTGATGTTTATACTTCATAACGTCCTTGATAATAAACTTGAGGCCAGAAAAGCTGAGGTTCACTATAGTCATGTATTATTACTGTAAACTCATCCCAAGTCAGTTATCCTCTGACCCTGCTTTTCTTGAAAATCGGCCTCACCTACTTCCTCCATTTGCACAACACTGCCTTTTTAGGGTATTTTTTCTTCAGTTACACAGATCTAATGTATCGTGCACACGTGGACAAAATTGTTGGTACCCCTCGGTTGATATAAGAAAAACCCACAACAGTCACAGAAATAACTTGAATCTGACAAAAGTAATAATAAATAAAAATTCTATGAAAATTAAACAATGAAAATCAGACATTGCTTTTGAACCGTGGTTCAACAGAATTATTTTTAAAAATAAACCCATGAAACAGGCCTGGACAAAAATGGTGGTACCCCTACAGAAGACTGAAAATAATGTGACCATGGGGACATGTTCAATCAAGGTGTGTCCTCTAATTAGCATCACAGGTGTGTACAAACTTGTAGTCAGTCAGTCGGCCTATTTATAGGGTAACAGGTAGTCACTGTGCTGTTTGGTGGCATGGTGTGTACCACACTAAACATGGACCAGAGGAAGCGAAGGAGAGAGTTGTCTGAGATTAGAAAGAAAATTATAGACATGCATGTTAAAGGTAAAGGCTATAAGACCATCTCCAAGCAGCTTGATGTTCCTGTGACTACAGTTGCACATATTATTCAGAAATTTAAGATCCATGGGACTGTAGCCAACCTCCCTGGACGTGGTCGCAGGAGGAAAATGAATGACAAATGGAAGAGACGGATAATACGAATGGTAACAAAAGAGCCCAGAACAACCTCTAAAGACATTAAAGGTGAAATCCAAGGTCAAGGTACGCCAGTGTGAGATCGCACCATCCGTCGTTGTTTGAGCCAAAGTGGACTTCATGGGAGACGACCAAGGAGGACACCATTATTGAAAACAAATCATAAAAAAGCCAGAATGGAATTTGCCAAACTGCATGTTGACAAGCCACAAAGCTTCTGGGAGAATGTCCTATGGACAGACGAGACAAAACTGGAACTTTTTGGCAAGGCACATCAGCTCTATGTTCACAGATGCAAAAATGAAGCATATCAAGAGAAGAAGACTGTCCCTACTGTGTATCAGGGAGGAGGATCTGTTATGTTCTGGGGCTGCTTTGCTGCGTCTGGCACAGGGTGTCTTGAATCTGTGCAGGTATTATGAAATCTCAAGACTATCAAGTCATTCTAGAGAGAAATGTGCTGCCCAGTGTCAGAAAGCTTGGTGTCAGTCACAGGTCATGGGTCTTGCAGCAGGATAATGACCTAAAACACACACAGCTAGAAACCCCCAAGAATGGCTGAGAGGAAAACATTGGACTATTCTGAAGTGGCCTTCTATGAGCCCTGATCTAAATCCTATTGAACATCTGTGGAAGGAGCTGAAACATGGCGTCTGGAGAAGGCACCCTTGAAACCTGAGACAACTGGAGCAGTCTGCTCATGAGGAGTGGGCCAGAATACCTGCTGAGAGGTGCAGAAGTCTCATTGACAGTTACAGAAATGGTTTGATTGCAGTGATTGTTTCAAAAGATTGTGCAACAAAATATTAAGTTAAGGGTATCATCATTTTTGTCCAGGCCTGTTTCATGGGTTTATTTTTTTAAATAATTCTGTTAAACCACGGTTCAAAAGTAATGTCTGATTTTCATTGCTTAATTTTCATGGAATTTTTATTTACTATTACTTTAGTCAGATTCAAGTTATTTCTGTGACCGTTGTGGGTTTTTCTTTCATTGACCGAGGGGTACCAACAATTTTGTCCACGTGTGTAGATGATTGTCTTGCAACGTGAGAAGTATCTTTATCTCTGGCAACGTATCACAATAATATTGCTACTCTGTGATTCCTCACACTAAACAACACCATTATTTTGTCTTTAAAGGTCTGACAGTGCCAGCTGACATGTTTTACGTTTTGTTTTGGCCTGTTTCATATCAACTATGAATGCACTCCTGTGTTTTCCTCATTGAAGCCACAATGCTCAGTTTACCAGGTCAAACCACATTACAGCCAGCAAGCAGGAATCTGAGCCACTTCCTGAAAAAGGAGAACCTAATTTCTCCAGAATCTCATAAACTGTCAAGGATATCCAAAACAATTTAGAACATTTCAACACGTCTGCTTGTCATGCTGCAGCTAAATGCCAAAAGTGTCTGTTTCCTTTGGTGCATGTGGACTTGAGGTTACATTGTTATCAGTGCTGAATATTTTTGTTGAAAAAGTGGAGTTGTTCCTTAACTTATTCAGTTGACCGTTCATTCCTGTTCTGTGCTGCTTCATCTGTAATATCTTTAAAAACTACTGCACTCTTTGTGAGCCACAATTTCTGCTCCAAAAATGTAGATGTTTTTGTCTGTTGCATGATCTATTCATACGTTTTGCCCCTCTTCAGACAAGGCGTTGCCCTCCGTGCTGCAGAAAGCCGAGGTTTCCTTAATGAGTCAGAGTGACTGCAAGAAGAGCTACGGCCCCATCTCCCCTCGCATGCTGTGTGCTGGCGTACCCTCAGGAGAGCGGGACGCCTGTAGGGTGAGCAGCCATCATCTGCATTTTATCGAGTGGGAGAATCAATTCCAAGCCGGCGTGCAAGCTTTTGAATAACTGCTCTTGCACTGCTTGTATCTCAGGGGGATTCGGGGGGTCCTCTGTCCTGTCAGGCTCCAGGCGGGGGTCGCTGGTTCCTGATAGGGATTGTCAGCTGGGGGGCCGGTTGCGGCAGACCAAACCTGCCTGGAGTCTACACCCGGGTCAACAAGTTCACCTCTTGGATCTACAGCCATATCAGCTGACATGATGAAATTCATCCATGGCCAGCAGATTGTTATACAGACTGTTGCTCAAACCAAATAAAAAAAAAAAACATCATGAAAGACTGTATACTGTTTTTTGTTTTCATGGAGACACTATTATCTGCTTATTGTCGCTATTACTGGTGACATTAATGTGCTGCATTCCTCCTCCTGTAATCCCATGTCAAGTCCTTTTACAGTCTCACAAGTTTGATGGCAGACTTGTAGTCACAGGGGGTGTCTTGCTCTCCTGCGGAGCATCCAAGGACACAGCAGCTGAGATCCAACTGTAATACCTCGCACACGTTTCCCCTCAAACACCCTTTTGTCCCTCCGAGCTGAACTCCCGCATACACAGCGAGCAAGTTTGCCCACAATACCTGTAGCACGGATGGTTGTGCGGATTGTACCCTTTCATAGTGGTCCCATTGTCCCCGCACTGCATTCTGGGGCTCCGTGTGACACCTGCCGCCCAGTTCAGGTAAACGGGAGGCGGTGAATGCCCGCCGCATCCGAGCCACTCAGGTCGGATTTCTACGCTTTTTTCAAAGGAAGCGACAGCGGGGGTTTCCTCTCTCTCCATCGCTTCTATGCCTGAGGTATTGTTGCATATCGCCTCTCCGGAGCTTAACGGGACACTGCTATGTGGACTCACCCCAAAAGCAAAACTTGCGAGGTGTACTGCGTCTCCGGGCATGGACACTCAGGCTGCTCCGCTGCACAGGTAAGCCATCTCCGTGCGCCTTTCTCTGCGCGTAAAAGACGGTGCCAAGCGAACTGTATGCTATTTTCTCAGTGTATTCTAACTCTGCCGCGAAACTATTGTGCATATTAAACTTTGGGGGAGTTTTAGTAATAATAGAAAGATTCCTAATGTTTAAAAATCGAGTCAGCCGTGGTTCATCTTGATTGTAAAAATCCGTCTCTAGGGGTATGGGGCTCTCTTTCTCATGAATGTCCATGTCGGGCTGCGCCACTTGATTGAGTGCTGACACCGCAGAGCCAGGCCGTGGGAAAGCAGACCCCTCCAGCCACGCTTTGTCTGCTTCCCCAGGGAATCCTGCCAACCCGTTAAATGTTTTAGGAGATCCTTTCAGCTGAAGGATGCTCACCGTTGCTCTCAGTAAATCAGTGTCTGCTCAGCCATAAAATCTATGTCTCATTGATTTTGGCATATAGGCTGCCTTTTCTTTACTGCTCCTCTGCTGTGTGCTCACATAAAAATAACAATTAGATGCAACTTGAGAAGAGACATAACAAGCCGGTATGATATTTGAGTCATGTCCTGGTCTCTGAAAGGGAGAGGGGGAGTTGAAGGAGCCCACCCAGTCACTGAGCCCCCCCACGAAGCCTGAGGATCAGGCAGAGGAGACGGTGGAGGGGGTGCGAGCTCCAGCCTGTGGCTCCTGGAGGAGATGGATGTTGGGTCTCCTGCCTTTCTTTCCCTTCACTGCTGCCATTGCACTGACTCTCCACTACTTAACATGTGAGTACAGAGCTGCTGTGGTGTTGTTCCTCAGACCTGATGCCTTTTAATATGTATTTATTTGGAGTCACACAGTGCACCTGTCTCAGATCTCTGCCTCCCCCTTCCACAGCTCCGCCTTGCTCAGTGTTCTTCCTCGGAGGCAGTGTGGAGTTCCCAAACCTGAGCTTCTCCTCAGAGCTGACTGACTCCACCTCCCCTCAGTTCCGCCTGCAGGCTCAGGCTTTGAACCATTATGTAAGTGGAACGGTGAACTTGTCTGTCACTGCCTGCCTTCTGAATGACACATAAGAGTGCTGCTTGACCTTCCTGCTCTGGGCCGAAGCTGATCTTGCTGCTCTAACTTTGACATGCTTCACTACAGCGGGCTACTAGTGTTTTTATGCTGCGCTTTCAAAACACAGCTGCCCTCTTTCTCCTCTACTGTCCTCGCATTCTTATTTGTAGGGCTTCTCCTTTATCTGCTTTATCCTCCCCTCACTCAGTTTTTTTTTTTATTCTGCACACCACTTTCCTCTCTTCTGCCCCTCTCTCTGTCTCTCTCTGGTGGTGTTAAATGTAAAGCTGAAACAGGAGCTGGGCACAGTGTGTGTGCGAGTTCCCGAGACCCCCAGGGACAGGGCCCTTTCAGGGCCGAGGACAAGCCCAGCATTTGTGAGCCTAGTAAGGCCCAGGCAGCAAGAGTGAGAGGAAGAGCAGGCCTTCAATAAAAACATTGTCTGTGTAGCTTTCACACAATCAGCCACTCTGTGCGCTATACACGACAGAGAGCAGGAGAACCTCTGTTTGATGCCGGGGTTAAGAGGGAGAGACAGGGCAGTAGGGCAAGCTGGGATGACAGAAGGACGGGGAGCTAGACTGAGATACAAGAAGGGGAATTTGGACTTTTGGAGCGAAATGTCAGGTGCATGGCTGTAGTGCTTCGTGTAGATATAGTAAATTGATAGGTGGGAATTCCCAGGACTCTGCAGCAGCACAGTTTAATAACCCTGTAATAGGCCGTGAGGGTGAGTTAGCAGGCTTGTTAAGTGGTCAAAGTATCTTTGTGGCCATCTGTTCATTAAAGAACAGGTGAACTCAAGGCCAGCAGCCCATACCACCCAGGGTCCTACCTCGACACAGCCGGCAGGTAGACGCACAATGGAGCTCTGTGCTGCTCAAAGTCAACATACACACATGCAGAGTCTGACACACACACACACACACAAGAACAATGCTTTTGTTGAACTCTGGCTGCACGTGTAGCCAGGTGTGTTTATGTGTCGCCTAAATGGGGAAGGTGACCTCACGTGGACTTCTGTGATGTCACATTTACAGTGTGTGTGTTTTTACCTCTTTGTGTTTTTTTTAAAAAACAGTTCTCAGAGCTCTACGAGTCCTCTCCATGGAGCTCGTACTACCTGCGCTCAGGAATTACTGCCTTCAGGTATGCTGCACTAAAATCAAACCTACTACGAATAATGATGCACTGGGTAGTACGAAGACTATGCATGACAGCACTGAGACATCCGTTGCCCTGCAGAATAGCAGCATTATGAACCCTTTGTGTGACAGTGAAGGAGCAGAAGGGCTCAATGTCTTCTACTGGAGTAAATTCTCTGCCCCGGATGATGTTGCCATGGAACTCCAGAGGTCCAGCCCAGAGAGGCTGCAGCGACGGCTCCCCGGCAGCAACAAGGTGCAGCGAGACAGCCGCAACGAGCAGCGCTACTTCATGGAGCAAGATGACGACACGCTCCACCTACTGGGTACAGGCTGGTTGGCTCACACACAGGACTGTACTGCAAATGCTCATCACAGCAGAGTAGTTCAAATAGAAGAAATTAAAAAATGTAGTGAACAGCTAATCCTTGTTTTAATTGATGTTTTTTCAGTTTGTACTAAATTTAAAGAGTGTTTTGATTTCTGCTGTGTGTGCATGCAGGTTTGGACCCTGACGACTTTGAAGCAGAAGAGAAATCAGACAAAATTAAAAATCCAAATAATATCCAGAGTGGGAAATGGCAGCTGGGCTTCCAAGGTGAGAAGAGTTGTCGTCTAACTTTGCACTGATAGACTTTAAAGAGCAACTTTCGAGTTTATAAAAAAAAAAAAGAATTATGGAAGCCAACAGTTATTTTGACTCTTGTGAGGATGAAAATGTATATTCATGTGTATATGATGGACAACAGCCTTATAATTATGAGCCTGCCAGGCATCAAAGAGACCAGAGGAAAGAGAAGATAAGAGGAAAGACTGTGTTACATCTCAGTGCTGCCAAGTTTGCACATATCACATATCAGGATATAACACAGCTAGTATTGGTTGTTTAACAACATTGTCTAACATGAATCAGACAGAGGTGGGTGAGAGCTGACTCATTTTGAAGTTTGAAAATATAAAAAAAGACTTAAAGACTCTAAGTCTTAAATACTTAAAGTGCAGAGTTCCGTTTCTAAGCGTTGCTACCACAGTGCTAGCACCAAAAACGGCTGCTGATGGTGGACCGGAAGCAGCTGTGTGTATTGAAGGAATCACAACAGCGATCAGCCTCACACAGTCCAGACTTAGACATGTCAGAACTCCATCATATCTCCAGGAACATAATTGTGCTGTCTAAAATAAGCACCGCACACAACAGTGTTTTGCAGCACTGATGCACCTAAACACTAATTCAACATGATGAAAAATTGTGAAGTGCAAAGAGATTAGCAAAAACTTTCTAAATCATCACCTACACCGACTACTGCACAGTGTGCTGAGGAACACTATCCCCTTATTTGATGTGATGTGAGGTGTTGGGGGGAAATAAAGTGTAAGTGCAATGCTCACTGTATGACTGTATACATCTGAAACTCCCCATCAGTCAGTTAGAAATGAAGAAGCCTGAAGCTCCAAGGATGCTCAAAATATCTACTTCTTCATCTAAATTTCTGCCTTTATGGCTCATAAAACATGTAAAATCATTGTATAAACTTCTCAAACAATCCTAATCAAAGTAAGGGAACAAGTATAAATGCAACATAATCAACCTGCAAGTTGCTCTGTAAGTCAAAACTTTGTCTTGGTCTTGATAACTTCTGTTTGTATTGCAGCTTTTGGAACACCCATGTCGATTTGTCTCATCTTTTGTATTATAGTCCATTGCTAAGTTGTTGACTAGTCTGTCTTGTTAAATCTCGTAAGACTAATTGAAAGTACATTTGTCTTAATGGATAGCAAATTAAAAAATTATAGTTTGGCTGCACTTTTTGTTGTTTTTTTTTTCCACTAATTTGTTGCCTGTATAACACACACAGTAATTCCATCATCTCTTCTGTCTAGCGATGTCCTTTGACCTCTACGCCAAATATGGGAACAACCGCACCCTGAGCCTCGTGAGTCCCAAGAAGCCATACTACCAGTGGCGCCTCCGTGTGCCGTCGGGTCACGTGGTTCGACTGGTCGTCCTCACCCTTCACGGCGCCACACCGGGAAGCTGCACCGCCCACAAGCTCTCTGCCTATGACTTCTTGCTTCCTCTGCAGAACAAGATAATTGCCAGGTTAACACATTTTATTCATTCATTTATGTGTGGTGTTACTTTGAAAACATCTGCGCTATCACACGTGTACTTGTGGTAGAAACTGGATTTCTGTTTTAACAAAAGGAGAATTTTTGAGGTAATTTGTGTTCTAATGGTGTCCCCTTGATGCTCGTGCTTGTTTCAGGTGGTGTGGTCTGCCATTGTCGGGCTCTTCTCCGGTCATGAAGCTGACATCCTCTGGCAATGTGATGTTGGTCACCTTCTCTTTCAGCAGACAGAGGGATGGAGCAATCTTCAAAGCTTACTTCCAGGCCATCCCGAAAGCCGGTTAGAGTGCTCTCACAAACACACCAAACCATATACGACTCCATCTTGCAATACAAAGCTTGTTTATGTTAATGTTGTTTGATTAGCATAATGTACACACATTGTAAAAAACATATAGAAATAATTTATCTGCATGTTTAACTACATGTTTACTGGAAAAAAACAACAACAACAAAACAGGCCAATTCTGTAAATAACATCCACAGTAGAAATCTTTGTTTTCACAAATGGTAATATATAATGTGTTCTTTGATAAAGTGTCACCATAAAATTATGCTTTTTTAAAAATGGTTTTATTTTCTGTATTTAAATCAGAAAGAAATCCATATTTTACAAATATTTATATTATATAATATTATTTGAAAGAAAAGTTGAACATATTAGAGATTGAAAAATGGTAACTAATCCTTTAAACTGTTATTTTAGAGATTTTTTATGTTTTGTTAAATTTATGATAATATCTAGTAAAATCATTGAAAAAAGTATTAGACTACATGTTGACTTTGAAAAATAAAAAAACGTTATGTTATGTTATATTATTTATTTATTTAAAACAGTTTGTTCTTTTACAATGTGTTACCATGAAATGACACTATTTTTACTGTACATAAATCAGAAGAGACGTCCTTATTTTACAGGTATTTGTGGCTACTTTATAATGCATTTTTTCCAGACTGTTACTTTACAGATTTTCACTGTTTTATTAAGTTACAAATAATACATAGCAAAATCACAGAAATAATTATTTATTTACATGTTGACTGTCACAGATATCAAAAGTCTGTATTTTAATAATAATTTGTTGTTTTACAATGTGACTGTAAAATTCCAGTTTTGCTATATTTAAATCAGCCACAGATGTCATACTTTTACAGATATTTGCAGCATTTTTCAGTTTTGTTTTGTTGGGGTGTTTTTTTCAGTTTTTTTTAACATTACATTATTTCACCGTTTTTAATGTTTTGTTTGAGGTTTTTTTATGGGGTTTTTGCAGCGTATAGTAGACGTTGCTTTGGTATTGTGTTATTCTGTACCCTTATCTGTGTCATCATCTCCCCCTGCAGGTTGTGGAGGCTCAATTTCCTCCTGGAACGGCTCTATTTCCTCACCCTACTACCCCTCCTATTATCCTCCTAACATAGACTGCACTTGGACCCTACGGGTGAGCTCCATGTTTCGGTGTTTTTCCACACTTTGAGTGTGTTTCTGTGTCTGTTTAATACAAAAACCAAAAACAGGCGGATAGGAAGTGAGTGAATCATCTCTTTGTCATGTTGCTGGTCCACATTCCAGCATCTGAACTCCTTCTTTTGTTACCTTTATCAGGTGCCGTTGCCAGGATACTTGATCTCCATGACGATCGTGACGATGGACATTCAGGATTCCCCGTCATCAGACGGCTGTGAGAAAGACTGGCTGGACATTGGAGGGGTGAAGTGAGTTGTGAATGTGAACTGTGTTGCAACAGGATAACATTTCCTCCTGTTTTAAGAAGTGGTTTGATAAAGTTCATGTGTTTTTGTGAGGCCTTATTTTTGTGCTCCTTTGTATGTAGACTTTGTAATCCGGTGTCAGACAGCAGCAAGAAGCGGGTCTACTCCTCTCCTCTGTCCCTCCACTTCCACTCTGATGAATCTCTCACTCACAAGGGCTTCTACTTGTTATACCGAGCCTTCTCTCCAGAGGGCAGTAAGTAAAATGTGATGCTTCCACTCTACTGTGGCTGTTTGTAAGAACAGCAACTCAGTTAGAGGCAACAAATATCAGTAGTTTACAGTAGAATAGCTAGGCTGATGAGACTTGGTCAGATCTGTTGGTCTTTGTTGCTTTATTGAACCAAACTTTAAAAGTCAAGTACTGTAATATCAGAGTACATTTCCTTGCTGTCCATCTCCAGCTTGTCCTCGACAGTTTCGCTGTGGAGATGGTCGCTGTATCCCTCTGAGGAAGGTGTGTGATGGAGTCAAGGACTGCTCAGACGGACGGGACGAGGCTAAATGCTGTAAGTCTTGTTGCCTCAGCGCCGTACGCTATCTTTAATTGTACCCCAGACCAAAGTGCAGCAGCTTACTCAGGCCTTAAAGGCTCTGCGTTGGCTCCCCGTTGATTTTACGGTTCTTTCTAAAATGTTGCTTTTAGTTTTTAAATCTCTTATCGAACTATCCATCCATCCATTATCTATACACCGCTTAATCCTCACTAGGGTCATGGGGGGGCTGGAGTCTATCCCAGCTGTCTTAGGGTGAAGGCAGGGGACACCCTGGACAGGTCACCAGTCTATCTCAGGGCTACACTTAGAGACAGACAACCAAGCACACTCACATTCACACCTACGGACAATTTGGAATCACCAATTAACCTCAACATGTTTTTGGACTGTGTGGGAGGAAGCCGGAGAACCTGGAGAGAACCCACGCTGCACGGGGAGAACATGCAAACTCCACGCAGAAAGATCCCGGTGCCCCCACCGGGACGCGAACCAGCGACCTTCTTGCTGCGAGACAACAGTGCTAACTAACTGCGCCACCTTGCAGCCCCTTATCAAACTAAATCTTGATTATTTATCTGTTCTGTTGGTTGCTTTTGCTTCTTCTAGATGCCTATGAGCCTCAATGTCTCTTGAATGCTCCCTAGAATAGAACTAAGACATACAGAAGTGGCTAGAAGTAGAGAGAACTCAAATGTATTTGTGCAGTATAGGTTATAATGCCATTAATGATCTTTACAAAAAACAAAAACATTAAGGGTGCAGAATTTTTCATTTTTTTACAGAATCTTGTCAGAGCAAGTGTTTTTTGAGGGGGGTACATTTTTAAGCACATAGAATAAAATGATTTGATGAAATATCCTGATTTTACACTTTTACAGTCCAATAAAGTGCTACGTGACAGATGACTACTATGAGGTCCACTGAAAGGTTGAAAATCAGAAAATTCTTTTTGTTTTCGCAGCTTCTGGGGTCATTTTAGCAAAAGATAGCATGTCTTTCATACCCACAAGCAGGTCTTGGATTTCAGAGGGTTGATGGATTCTTTTCTCCAACTTTGTCTTTTCTTAAATGTTCCCCAGAGTACAACACACAGACTATTCTGTTATAATCGATCCCCACCTCTGTCATAATCATCCAGGAGTTGTTAGCACATCAGATTCAGTAGAAAGCTTGTGTTTTCCGGTGGTTAAATTTAATTTCATGTAATACTGATAATGGACTTATTTATTGCTTTTATGGATCTTAGTGTTGTTTTGTATTTTACTGTCTGAGGTTTAATTCTTAATACTTGTGTATGGTGTGGTTTTTTTTCTCTTACTTTTATTAGTGTAAAACATTTTGAGTTACGTTCGCTGCATGAACTGTGCTATACAATTGTTGTATTACTGAAACTGAACCACTGGCTTGCATTGTAGTTACAGACACAAACCTTGTGCTAGTCTCACAGGCGTATGGTTTTTGTGTTTTTTTGTGTAAACCACGTAGCATCCTGCAGGCCGGGTGAAGTGCTGTGTGGGAATGGTCAGTGCAAACCTCAGAGCAGCCAGTGTTTCAGTCAGAGCATCTGTCCAGACAGCAGTGAGGAGGGCACCTGTGGTGAGTAGACCTGCTGCTGCTCCACTAACACATACATTTACTGTGTTCGTTTTAATTATCTGTTTTGTGTGCTGCTTTGGTTTTCAGGAGGAAAATGCTACCACGTTTGTCCTAACAAGGTGTGTTTGCCGAAGTCTTCAGTGTGTGATGGGGTCATTGACTGCAAAGACCGCAGTGACGAACTCAACTGCACCAGAGCATGTGAGCATTCACCATGTTGCTGTTACTAGACTGACTACCCGGTTGAAAAGTGCTTTTGTTACAATATTATTATTAACCCTGAGAACAAAAATGAAGACTCTGCATCTAAAGCGTCATCCTGAGATTACAAATTCTAATTTTAAATCAGCAACGTTTAGTCAAAAAGTCCCCGAATTTTTTCCAAGTGACTGGAGGTTGCGTCTGAATCCCTAGTGGCTTCATGGTTGTGCTGAGGAGCGCAGTTTCATTTTGAGATAAAGAGTGGTTTTGATGCAATATCCTGATACTAAGGTTACATTCTGATGCATTGGCAAGTCACAGATGAGTACTTCAAGGACTATCGGAGGGTTAAAAAGTCAATGATTCCCTCTGTTTTTACAGTTTCTGATCAATTTTGTAATATTTTAAAGACAACATGCTTTTTAAACCTGCCGTTAGGTGTTGGGCTTCAGAAGGTTCATGTGTATTTTATTAAGCGTTTTTGGATTCTTTTTTTCCAATTATATCTGTCATACTCTTTAGATCTGAAAGGCTGCTCCTCGTCCTCCTACAAATGTGCCAATGGAAAGTGTGTGGGTAAGGTGAACCCTGAGTGTGATGGAGTGAAAGACTGCTATGACGGCTCCGATGAACTGCGCTGTGGTGAGTATTCACCCGTCAGACTTCATGATTCGGTACTGGACTACATGAAGGACCTCTCATGCTTCTCCTGTGTCTCCCAGGCTGTGGCACCAGGCCCAGGAAGAGGACTAAGATAGTGGGAGGGTCTGATGCCGTGGCGGGGTCGTGGCCCTGGCAGGTCAGCCTCCAGATGGATCGCTACGGCCACGTCTGTGGAGCCACGCTGGTCTCTAACCGCTGGCTCATCTCTGCAGCTCACTGTTTCCAGGACTCAGATGCCATCAAGTACGACAGACACCGACAGCCTCACCTTGATAGTTAGTGTGTGTGTGTCCTGTATTCATGCACGGTGTGTCTACAGATACTCAGATGCTCGTGCATGGCGAGCTTACATGGGGATGCGTGTGATGACCACGGGGACCAGCGGAGCGGCCACCAGACTGATCCGCCGGATCCTCCTCCACCCGCAGTACGACCAGTTCACCTCCGACTACGACATCGCCCTTCTCGAGATGAGCGCGCCCGTTTTCTTCAATGACCTGGTGCAGCCTGTGTGCGTCCCTGCATCCTCGCACTCTTTCACCACAGGGACAAGCTGCTATGTCACAGGCTGGGGGGTTCTGATGGAGGATGGTAAGAAAACAGAACATACACTTAAAGTATGTTTCAGTTCACAATTCTTCTGTTTTATTTGCATGAAGATCAGGTTAACAATATTGCCAAAGCATCAAGGATGGTGTAATCCCAATTCAAATATAATCTCTTAAATGGAATAGAGTCTCTCTTGCAGACATCACAGTGTGTTTTCTTTTTGTGTCAATTGTAGGTGAATTGGCGTCTCGCTTGCAAGAGGCCTCAGTGAAGATCATCAACAGAAACACCTGTAACAAGCTCTATGACGACGCCGTCACTCCCAGGATGCTGTGTGCTGGGAACCTGCAGGGAGGTGTGGATGCCTGCCAGGTGAGAGGATGCAGTGGTAAAGTTTATAGAGAAATACGTGATATACTCACTTCTGTGGTTGTTGAGAAATGCTATCATGTACCTTTTAGTCATAACCAAAAAATGCATGATCTTTGAGCTAGATTTGCTGTTTTTTCCATGTGTCCCAGACTTCCTGTGTAAACCACAGCAGAGCATGTTTGCAACAAGAAAAAGTCGTTTCATTGTTCATTATGCTCTCCTTTTATGCCTTCTGTATGCATTTTGAAGGTACAGCTACACAGCACACTGAACGCACTTCGAGTGTAAAATTAAATTTCGACCACAAATTAAATGATGGTTGCTACAAATCAGAAAATGACGTATAATACACTAAATGTATTGCAGTGTATTGACAAAGAAACTGGATTCACTTAAGTAGATTAGTTTTTAGATTAGTTAGATAATAATGCTACCCTGCATATTAGGAAGAAAAGTATCTCCAGTACTGATAATCAAGCCTCCATAGGGAGTCCTGAGTCACAAAGTAAACGTCACTTACTTTTACTCAGGATGTTGTATAAAGGCTATTCAGACAGAACCACCCTGGTAACTTTCCCAAAAAAATGCAACGATCTTACAAGGGTGGGGCACAGTAACAGACAGGCATGCACAACCGGTATACTTTGACTTGTGTGTAGCAATAGGGAAATGTCCAAACACATCACAGAACACAAAAGGCAGTTTCTGTGCCAAAACCACAAAATACCTTCATCCTTTACTTTGCTCTGTATTTTCAAATCTGTAACAAACTGAAATGTCCATAACAATAAAACTTTTCTGTGATAAAAACAGACTGTCACAGGTCAGATGAATAAGACTCACCAATAATGAATGTCATCTGGGTTTTGACAAAAAACAATAAGAAGAGCTGAAGTTCAGTTTGTTGCTTCCAATTGTTTTCGTTGGAGTCTTTCCTCTGAGTTTAAGTACCTGCAGCATCGAACAACAGCAGGATGCATTTGAATGTCTCCAAAGAGAGACAGCTGTTCACATTTATGCAAGTGAAACAACTGCAGAAACTTAGTTGAGTATAAAGTATTAATGAAAAAAAGACTTGGATATTATACATCACTAGATGTCTAATCTCTGTCTGAATGAAGCAATGAGCAGCATGAATGCAAAAGTGATCTATGTCTGAATGATCGAATGTCGTCACTTTAACAGATTAATGAAGCCAGCAATGTTTCACATCCCATCTCTGAGAACGTTTTAGCAGCAAATTGGCCTGAAACAGCTACTAACTTGTAGTCGTAGACTTCATAGTGTGTATATAAAGATATACCTTTAAAAAGACGCCATGCACTAACAGTGATATTTGGAAAGTAGACCAAGTGTGGCTGCTTTAGCAAAAACATGCTCAAGTGAAGCCAACAGCCCAAGTTTTCTACACCAGTTCTGTCACTGAAACCTGATGTTATGAAAAATCAGTTCAGCTGCTCTGGAAATATTTTGAAATGATATCATGTTTTTCTACAATCCACAGTTAAATAAATAATCAACAAATTACAAAACTGGCCATTGCTTCCTTTCTAAGCTCTCACTGCCTAAAAGTTCACCGCTGTGTGTGTGTGTGTGTCCTCAGGGTGACTCAGGAGGTCCGCTGGTGTGTCTGGAGCGCGGCCGGCGGTGGTTCCTGGCCGGGATCGTGAGCTGGGGCGAAGGCTGCGCGAGGCAGAACCGCCCGGGCGTCTACACACAGGTGGTCAAGTTCACTGACTGGATTCATCAGCAGACCAAAGGACAGGTGTGACTGAACATCACACTCACATGAACAAAGTGACAGACTTAACACACAGGACGAAGCTTTGAGGTCTGACGTTCGTCTTCAGACTGTTGTCGTGACTTCTTGACAACGCATTCGGTCAGTTTTTCAGGAGTGTGTACCAAGGCAACGGGCCAGCGGAAGCAACATTGCAGCTCTGAACCACCGGGCTTCCTTATAATCTGCAAACAGCGGCTATGTTGACATGCACAAAACAAATTCAGCTCTTAAACTAGTTAATGTATTAACTAGGTTTTGGGTTGTTGCATGTCCATGGTATTTAGTATTTGGTTGAAATTACACAAGATGCTGCCACATAAAAACACTGTTAGTATTTGGGTTTAGCAAAATATGTTGGATACAATATGCTGAAACACATTATCTTATGTCTGTATTAAAAAATAAGAAAATGGAAAACCAAGTTATTACAAATACCACCAATATATTGGTACACAAAGATGTCACTGATCACCAACTTATTTCTATTTTCTATGTTCTTCACTATATATATTCAATGTATTTTTTTTTTATAGCAGCAATTACTAAAAGTAAATGATGTCTTCTTATAGCTAAAAGCACAAACATAAATCCAAATGGAAACCTTGGTTAACCCTCTGAACCCCAAAACCCGCCGGCGGGTTTTAAAAACATGTTATCTTTAAGGCAGTCACCAAAACAACAGAATATTTCAGAGCTAGAAACTGTAAAAACTGAAAAGTAATCACCAGCTTTTCATGTTTCTGCTAGTTCTTGAAGAAATCAAGAGTGGTTCCAAACCAACCTTAAAGATTGATCAAGCTGTCAGTCACTCGGCTCAACCAACAGTCCTGTGACAAAAAAATTTTAAAATTCAGGGACTTTTCAGCTGAACTGCAGACACTGTTTCCATAGAGCAGAGAGGAGACTAATTCAAATTGTAAATGGTGCAACAACTATAGTACGGAGAGTCACCTTTGGTTTTTTTTCTTTTTCCAAGTATTGATATCACCCGTGGGTACAAAAATTGTACATGTTGATTCCCAGGTTTTCTAAATGTTCATAAACTAAATCGTAAAAGAAATTCAACCTGACATCATGACTTTGTTACACAGTGCAAGAAGCATTTTTGTGCTTCCAGCAGTGTTGGTGCTGTTTCCATAGAGTTGCAGGACTTTATATTGCAGTGAAAAATCGAACCCACAGTGAGTAAAAATGTGATAACAGCCAGAAATGCCCACAGAAAGTGCTTGGGGTTCAGGGGATTAAACTGGTCTGCTTTCAGGACACATAAAGACTTATTACTTAATTGATCTGTCAGCTCCTGTTGTGCTCCGTCAGAACTGTACTGGATTCCTCTCTGCATTCTCAAAAACCTGGCACTTAGACCACAATGCAACTCTGCAATATGACGGTAGCCGCTGATGTAGCCTCATGCCTGGACGCAGAGCAGGGATGTGGTCCAGTAAACTCCCTTCTTCCTGTGTGTTTATTTTCAAAGTAACATCATTTGAGGCAAGCGATCAGATCCCGTGTGGCTCCCTCTGCAACCACAGATACGAGCTGTCGTATCACCAACAGCTGCAAACAGGCTTTAATGCCAAAATCAACAGAGTTACCGTTTAGGTTTTCTTGTAGCAGTCAGACAGGCCTCCTAAAACTACAGACATCAGGCTTCAGAGCAGATCTGACGTGGAACCATTAGCCAGATTATCTCGTGCATGTAAATGTAGCCAATTACTTCCCGTTTTCACTCATGTTTCTGCTCCCATTGTTCATTGCAGAGATAAACCACACGTGGTGCTGCTTGCCAACAAAAATTCAATCAGCCGTTTTATTGAATGTGGAAAAAGTTCTCTCCCCAAAAAAAGAAAACACGTTTTTGCCCTTATCTACATCCGTCTGTGTACTGTATACTTCTGTGTGTGTTCACAACTCACTTCACGAGTTCAAGAGTTGTTTTTGTACTGTATGTGTATGTATGTGCATTTGTATATCATGAGTTTTTCAGAGTCATAGCCGTATGTTCATTATATTCTGGAATTGTAGAGAAGCGAACAATCCCTCGATAGGAGGTGCATTTTCAGTTTTACTGTGATTTAATTTATCTTTATGGTGCCTGCTTTGTACTTTATGTTCCATGAAAAGGCTTCCTCTTGAAACCACGATGCAGTTTGTTGTGTAAGGAGAAAAAAATCTGATAACTAGGAGAGACTCTTACCAATCTTTTCCATGCAGACACTTGAGCTTCTTTTTTTTCCCCTAATGTTCTACCTTTTCATTCAGAGCTCACATCTCCACCCAGTGGCCAGTCTGTACGATCGCCTCTTTTACTGTATCTCCTGAAGGAATGCTCACGTCCTTGCACCTTACACCCAAAGAATTTAAGAACACTGCAGTTTGCATCATTGTTAAATAATGTCAGATTATTTGCCTTTATATTAAAGACATCATCACCATTGCAACACCTTTCAGCTTCTTTTTTCTGAGCGAAACTCTTCCCCCCCTTCTTACTAATAATGTCGAAGTGAAATTTGATATATTTTTTTAATCTGTGCCACAACTTTAACTTCGGGATGGAAAATCTGTTGCGTGGTCCTTCGGTTGTAAATGATATGAGGAACTTGCACTGAAGTGAATTTTTGGACATGCTCTTGCAAGGAGACTTTTTTTTTCTTTCTTTGTTTTACCAGTTTGATAAACAGCACACCCCGTTCACCCCGGTGCCTACGTGCTGGTTATCTCGGATTACCTTCCAGTGTACAAGTGGACAAGATGTCCACAAAGAGCTGACATGAACCACCCTCTTCCCTAGCTGATGGTGCGTAATTGTTATCCACTGAAAACAGGATTGCAGATTCTTGGTTACAAAAGGGTGATTCAAAGTGACACGTAAGGTAAGAAAGTCTTTAGGAAATAGAACTATTTCTGATATTACAACGTTTTCTCATCATCATCATCATCATCATCATCTTACTGGCACTGGGCAGTCCTGAAAAAAGTAATTCCTGTTACGCGCCTTGGGTGTGTCAGTGGAAGTAACGGAAGCCCTCTATCCGGTGACAGCGCTGTGGGAACTGTATAAATCCGCGCCACTATCCAAAAGGATGGGGAAAAGTTGCACTGGAGTTCAAGCGTGGTGTCCTGTTGCGTGATCTCCCTCAGCCAACCTCAGGAAACCGGCGCGTCCACACTCACTGACCATCAGCTCCGAGCGCAACAGTCCGCTGCGCCGCGCTGAGTTTGTGGTCTGTTCCAGGGGGAGAAGAAAACAAAAAAAAACAACAGCAGGAATAAAACTTCGTTCATGTTTCATATTTGAGAGCCGCTTGCTGCATCGGAGTCACCAGACATGATGAATTTTATTCTCATCTGCCTGCTATGTGGATTGTATGGTGTTCTTGGAAAAGGTGAGTTTACTTTTGTCTGTGAAGATTTTCAATCAGTCAGCTTGTTGGTGCAGAGCTTACTCACTTATGTATGTATATATTTATATAGGCCTAATGCTCCTGTAAGGCTTTTTACTTCACAGCACCACACAATTTTTAACAATTTCGTTTAGACGTTTTAAACTGAAGAGAAAACCTTTATAGCGAAAACGGCATTTTACGCACGGTTTTACTATTTATTAGTTTATGTCACGTAAACTTGAGGGTCATATGTCGCCCTCTAAAAAGAAAGACATTTCCACAATCAAGGCAGAAAAGAAAAACGCACAAACATCCTCTGTTTTTGTGGTAGCCTGCGGCACACCAATTATCGAGCCATCGGTGTGACTGCGCGTTTGAAGCCGCTCGGCTTGTAAACCTCAATTGGCGCAGTGTGCATTGAGGGAGATAAGCGCGGTGCAGCGGGAGTGTTGTTTGGATAACGCGGACCTCTGTGGTCCGGCTCCTTGTGCGTTTGGCCCCTGCTGAATGGACACACGCAGGGCGTTATTTCCTGAGACTGATGAGTTTGTCAAATGGAAGCTCTGATATAAATGAACGAGGGGTCATGAACAAGCGAAGGAAAATATCCAGTGAGCAGGAACCGGGGTTAATCTGTGCTTATGACTAAAACAGTCGGCAGGTTGCTTTCGTGCGCTCCAGAACTCTGGGATGTTATTGGAAGTGATTTAAGGGGTAAACGCTGATGTTTCTGTATCCTGCAAAATGAAATTATGCGTAAAAGTTCGGAGCTTGATATGCGGAAAATATTTGTGCACACATCAGTTCACAGTCAGTCCCTTCATCAGGTCTCTTTACTCTTTAATGTGTTGGCAACACGTTTTGCAAGTGCGTCGGAATTCAAGTCACAGCTTGTATTGTGATGACTTCATATGGAATATTTTTTTATCTTAAAAAAAAATGTTATAAAGCAAACGACACCTGTTTTTTACTCCTGACTGATCAAATCGGCAAAAGGACCGATTGAATTCGTAGATATATTTTTTTCGCAGTGAGCGCAGAAATGAATTTAATCTACAAATAATTTCAATCAAATCAAATCAAATGGTCATCATAATGATTAATGAATAACTGGATGTTCAGAATGGCATACATCATCACATAATCATAGATATTTCTCATATTATACGTTTATATTCGCGTGTATCTCTTAGTTGCTGATAATAAAACGTGTTATTTAATATTATTCGGTTTATTAAAGTAAGTAGTAACATCTATTTGAATAAATTTTTCAGAAAAAAAGAACATTTATTCATAATTACTTTATAAAAATAAAAATGCAAAACTTTGACTGACATCAGCACATTTAAACTGGGCTCACCATGTAGACTGATTCTCTAAAAGGATTTCATCTCCAAACTGGGTGCAATGATTTGAATGTCAGCACAAAAAAGCTCTTAAGAAGCACATTTGTTCAGAGTTCAACATCATATTTGGATGAGTTTTGTGTTTCTGTCCTTTACCAGTGGCACCAAAAACATTTTCACTGTTTCTGGTGTTTGTCTTGGATTTGAGTCGGTTAAAAGACATTTTCTCATGCATGGAGTCAGAGTGAAACCTGCCACAGTAATTCCATATCGTGGACATTTTTCTTTGGTTCTAGTTTGGACTGTGAGGCTCAGAATTCCCCCCAAAAAAGAACTTTCCCTTTAGCTGAAGTGAAGTAGCAGGAAAGCGGTGCCAATGAGGCGTTTAAGCAGCTTGTTGAAAAGGCCCAGGGATTCTGGACTTCCCCTCCGTCTTGCCTGCCATGTGTGTGTTTGTTGCCTCCTCACACTCTGTGAAACCCAAGGAAATAGTAAAGGAAGTGCTAGCAGAGTGAGTAATACTAGATCTGCTCAATGGGGCATCCACTGGGAACAATGATGCTGACAATGAAAGGTAATAATGGATTTAAGTGATAAATTTGCTAACTGCCTTACCAGTTATTTAAGAGCACACGGAGCAGCCAGGCGGTTGTGTTTTGACCTGCTTGTTGGACACTCTGTGAGGAGCAGTCAGAGTGAAGGACGGACTTCCCTGAATGATGTTTCCGCTGTTGTTGAGAGGAAGGAAGGGCGGACAGACAACCGTCTTTATCTCTCATTAATAAACCTCAGCGATGAAGTGGAGAAATGCCTTTATTTGATAAACAAGAGGGACACTGCTTACGCATTTCCACTCGAGTTGTCGAGTGGTCCGAGCGAGGAGATGTGAGGAGGGTCACAGATACTGTGGCCTGGATGGAGGACGTGCTGTGGAGGTGGGGATCGACAAGTGTGGTTCTGCACTCAGTCCGGTTTGGTCCGGTTTGTCATTGGCATACCTTAAAGGAAGTGTCAAAAGTATTTCTGGGTTGTAAAGTGTTTTCGCTTCCAGGATTTCCTCTTAAAGTGTTCTACAGAACATAGAGATGCGGATTGTGCATTTCCCCAAACAAATGTCAATTTGTCACATCACCTGAATCAAACATAAATGCGAGGATATCTCCAACACTTTGCCATCCAAAACCATCCTAGTTCTTCTAAGCTGACGTTGACCTCTGACCTTTCTGCAGAGGTCCATATGTTGATGAATAAAGCCTTAAACTTAGAATTACTAAACTCATGCTGATGTTTTTAGCCCACTCAGTCAGTGATGGGCTCTTCTTGTCCACTGCATCCTCATTTCTCTCCAACCTCTGCAGATAAAGATCAAAAGGGGAAGTTCAGCGTCCCTCTCCTGGATGTGAAAACTCAGCATCTGGTCCTGAACATCAACCAGACTCTGCTGCTCAGCTGCAGGTGAGTTTCAGGTAGATCAGAGCCAGAAAACCCCAGTTTGAGCAGAACAAGCTGATGTGGGTTCATTTTGGGGTTCATGAGATTTTGGGGCCAGTAAAGTGATGTTTACAAATCATTCCAAGCTTCATAATTGTAAATCACCCTTTGGTAACCTGTAAAGTAAATATAACTTGTGCATGTGTCGAAAGCATTTGGTTGACTCTGACTTTGTGACAATCCTGTTAGATTCAGGTGTAAAGACAAAATTCTGGAGTTTTCTGCTTTGAATCTGTGAATTTTCTCCAGAGCGCCTATTCCTCCACAAATCTTTTCTACATGTGCACAAACTGTCTTATGCAGATAATTTCATAGGTTGACGAAGGTTGGTTTACATCAAATTGTGGAAATATTTGTGAGCGTTACTTTAGAAGCTGCTGAAAAAAAAAGCTTAGGCGTCTCAACTGACAATTTATCATGACTGTAATGTATCTTGGTGGTAACTTTGACAATGATTTTCTATCAATATTAAAATATGAAGACTTAAAGAGACATGTTTGGAGGCTGTCCCATCCAGGTGCACACTATTGGCACAAAAATGAAGAAGCATGACTGATATCTGGAAATCAAGGAAAACATACCGGCAAACATACCTCTGTTTAAGCCTTAATATCTCAACATATAAATATATTTTAATGATTGGCAAAGTCACCATCAACATGTTAACTACAATTAAAAAGCAATTTAGTTACTTTGTGGGAGATAAATTAACATTTTTCCAATTAAACTGTATAATTAGATTTTTACTCTGATTTTGCTTCCAACAGCTTGAAAATAAATGCCACGTTTTCCATTATAATGATTATGCAAGATAAGAACTTTGTTTCTCTCTCTTTTTTAAACGTTTTTATTGCCTAAAAATATATTTTTTTTATTTAATTGATATAAATAGCAGTTAGCCACTGCTTTTCTATTCTTTTCTGCAGAGAAATTACAGAAATTGTCATTACAGTTGTTCAAGATAAACTTTTTCCCTTTCATTTGTTTTTATTTTTTTTGAAGTTTTACACACAAATTCTAACAAAATCCAAAAATAAACTAAAACAGAAGGAGTTTCTTTAAAAAAAAAATTTTTTTTTAAAGCCATATTTTTTTCTTAAGGTCACTTTGCAATTTTAAATCTCTTGAACGCTAAAGAGCTTCCGTTCTTCCACCCACCCAGCCCAATATGGTAAAGCAATCATGAGATAAAGAAATGCCGTTCCTGTGATGTAAACTGAATAATGCAGAGATTGCTAATCAAGCGCTCCGCTCACTGTTGCTGCTGACCAGGGGTCGCTGGCAGCTGTCATGGGCGTTCCCAGCAGGCTTGGCCAGAGATCAGGTGGAAGTGGACGAAACTCGCTGTGGGAGGACAAGCCAACAGTACTGCAGCCGTCTGAGAGTCCGCCACAGCCAGACCCAGCACACCGGCCTGTTCCGCTGCCGGTACCAGCACAGAACCCAGAAACAAGCTTCTATCTATGTTTATGTTACAGGTAAGACACTGCTGCTGAGGTCTGGGTGATCTCTGTTCCTGCTCTGGCCCACTCGCTGTGAAGCCCCTCACTCCTTCATCCCGCCGTGCTTATTGTTCATATCCTCAGGTTAAACAGGATGTGGTGGGTGCTAAATACAGACCAATGCCAGAGAACCAATTATATCTAAACACTGTTTGTCCCAACAACACATCCTTCTAGATGACTCTGGCACAGTTTCACCCTCCTCCTTCCCTGCCTCTCCTTTCTCATCCCAGGCCTACCTCCCCTGCTGTCTATATATAAATCTTTTTTTTTACTTTCGTTTACGTGCTACCTCGAGGCCAGGAATAGCCCAGCTGCTGAAAGGCTCAGGCCCGGGCAGAGTTTCCCAGGGCATCAGCCTTATCTGCTCGGCTCAGCCTTGCTTGAAGCATCCTGTGCTTGGGGGAGGAGGGGAAGGGCTCGAAGGGGGTGTGCTGGGAGGGGATGTCGCTGTGTCTCTACAAGGTGGCGGCAGGGAGGTGTGGGGAAGTGTGTGTATGTGTATGTGTGTGTGTGTGTGTGTGTGTGGAGCTGAGAGGGATAAGATGAAGGCCAGTGGTTCAGTGGTATCCAGGGGCAGAGGAGGCTCGATGTCTGCTCCTCCCTGTCCTGCAGAGTGACGCTGCTCAGTCTGAGCTATGTGAGGCACCGAGCTGGGCTGGAGGCCAGGGTTACAGGGCAGGCTACTGTTTGGCCAACAGGACCGTCGGGGGCCATCAATCGCTCAGGTCACCATGTCCATTAAGAGTCAGACTTGGCCTGCAGCTCCGCTGCCTCCCTTGTTGCCTCCCTCCCTGAGTCCTCTATTAGGAATCAAAGCAAGAGAAGGAAGCCTTCAGTCTACTAGTCCTTGGGGTACTTTTGTTCGAATGTTCAGAGATTTGCTTTCCTTGAATAACACCCTATGGTAACAAACAATACAGTGAGCAACACCCACACCTTTGAATGGCACAGAACTATTACAGTAGGAGAAAGCACAGAGGAGCCGTTTGATTGCTTCTAAACAATCTGTGTTTATTGTTGACTGCAGGCAGTCATTTGCTGAATGGGTTTTCAGTGAATGGGTGTGGAGGATAGTGTATGTTTAGGAGTGTGTGTCTGTTTGTTTTTGTTTGTTGTTGAGATTGATACTTGGAAGTGTTTGTATGTGAGTCATTGGGTTTGTGTGTTTGTGTAAAGAGGCGGGCGATTGTTTTTTTCCTTGTATTTCTGAGAATGCGTGGTTTTTAAGGTTCAGTTCACACAGAAATGAGCAAAGAAAACGTTTCATTTTCTCTTTCTGTTAAGGGCTAAACGTTCATTGTGAATGGGGAGGTTGACTTTTACTGTAGTGCAGATGTGAGAAAATCTCAGTTGATAAAATATTGATACACTCCTCCAGCTTGCATTTAATTCTGGGGCTGAATTAAGAGCAGTAAAGTAAAAGTGCAGCAGCAGCAGTGCTGCAGCAACCCATTTGGCACTTTAATTATTCACACTTTGTTTCACCTTTCACTTTACAAATAGTAGTTTAGGCAAATGCAAATACACACAGGAGAAATGTTTTCTGTTATTTCAGTGAACTGGCCCTTTAAACTCCTCTATTTTTCTCCTCATACGTGTAAGAAAGAAAGCATTTTCATTCATGCATTGAAGTTCCATGCTTATTATCTGCACCATATGTGTCCCTGACCGCAGTGTTTGGGTTTCAGACAGCCAGCAGCCATTTGTGGAACATCCAGGTATGAGCCCAGGTGTGTTGTACATGAAGGAAAAGCAGCCGCTGGTCATCCCCTGCAGGGTCACCAACCCCAACATCACCACCACACTGGTCAAGGTCAGTGCTGGAAATATGAGCAACGTGACAGTTTGAGTGTCTTTTAAATCATGTTTTATGTGCAGAGATCTGCTCTGCATCTTGATCTGCACATGCTGTAAACGGATCCGCACACTCACGTCACACTCACGTCCTTCCCTGCTCGAACACCACTCACGTTCTGTGCACATCATTACTAGTGCCAGTTTTTTCCATCAGGCCACCCATATGCATACAATGCACCGTCCAGTTGTTTCTCCCCGTCCAGATCATTCGCCACATTGTTCTTATCTTGGCAACCATTACGCTGTGGCGTGTGTGTCCGTTTGTTTGTGTCCGTCTGCGGATATGTGTGAAAGTGTGTGCGGATGTGTTTGTGAGTGTCGGTGCTTGAGTGCTGAGTGAAGGGGAGAGCGGATAAAGTTACAAAGTGCAAAAAAGCAGCATTTTGCGCGCTCCCTGTCTGGCGTGTGTGCTTGTATAAGTGCATGTCACTGTATTCCCATTATTTGCCTGTTAATTAAACAGCACTGCCTGCTCACGTCTTTAACAAAACCACAGTGGTGCCATGTCCTTTACTGGCTTTTTCCGATCGAGCGAGGACCACTGCTGGCACTGTTTTTACCTCTGGAGACAGGACATGGAGTCTGGAGTGCCCCATTGGCTCCCGGCCAACAACACTTCCCACATCTAGCCCTCTACTTCTTGTAGTAGGAATAATGGATGCCAATTTCCCCCAACTGATGCTTTAAACAGCTGGCGAGCCTGGTGGAGGAAGCAGAGGTAGCTACTGTTGGGCCCAACAGATCAAAGTAGAGTCCATTCTCTTTAATCAGCAGTGCTGGTCATTAATACGATGGCTTGTGCGTCATTGTAGGAAACTTACATCTACAATAGAGTAGCTGTGCAAAATTGAGTCTGGTCTAGACAAGGAAGTGGAAGAATAATAAGTACGTGCTGCTTAAAATCCAGTTTTTCTCATTTATCTATTCTGTTTTGTGCATTTACAGTGCATCAAATGCACAAAACATAAAGAAAGAATGAAGTGAAGAGGAAAAGGGACACTTCAGCAATTTAGCGGTGCACTGCCATAGGGTTACAGATTAAAACAGAATTAGGGCAGTAGCAGAGAGTTCTGATAAAAGTTAAATGACAATGCAAACATACAAAACATTTGCAGGTATGTCTACCATCTACCTTTATTTGATTAATTTGCTAATATTTGGTAGTCAGTACAGCCAAGATTAGCCTTTAGTTTTGCAAGTATTTCGTGGTTAACCAAAATATTTAATAACTCTGATCTGACCTGATGATGCCACTGGATGGTCATTAGGTTATCACAATTATTAAAATTCCTCCTGAGGAGAACCAAATCTCATGTTAATCCATCCATCATCCATTGAGCATTTTATTCAAAATCACAAATATGACCTTGATAGAGGAGCTACATAGAAAGTCAGTAGCTCCTCAAGGTCAACAGGATTCAACATGATTGTCTCTACAAATGTATTTCCAATACCAGAAAACAGTTGCTGAGATGTCTTAGTCTGAACCAGGTGCTGCAATCATGACTCAATAAACAAGAGAACAAGAAAAACGTCTAAGAACTTAAAATTCTCAGGAATTGGGATGCAGGAAGCGCAGAAGAATTGGACTAACCAGGCCCTGCATGTCATATCCACAAACACACACACACACATGTTTTTGTCCTTCCTCCATCTCCTCACAAATGCCTGGAACCACTAAGGTAATTATTCTAAAAATAGATCTCCTCCTCTTCCTTCATCTCCCTCCTCTTTCCCTGCGCTGGCCCGTCTAAACCAGGAATCCACTCGCTGTCACAGTCTCTGGAGTGTTTTTTTCCTGGAAGGACTTTGCACTTTGCCTGGGTCTTAAACGTGACCCTTCTTAGCAGGAACAATACCCAGGAGCCTCTGCTCTCGCGCTCCAGCCGTGAAAGTGACTGGGAGGTCCCGGAGGTCTGAGATGACAGGGTCGCCGTGGGGTTTCAGTCAAAATGTCTATATCCTGTAGTAACAGGATGCGAGGAGATGGACTGGAGTCACGTTTCTTGTATCCTGACTCCTCCTCTTTTTCCCTCCACCTCCGCTATCGCCTCCACCTTCGCCTCGTCTCCATGTAGGGTTAGAGGATGAGGGTAAGAGGGGCATCGAGGGCACTGAGGGTGCTCAGACAGGGCGTCAGTGAGTCCAGGAGGAGGAAGGAGGGGCGGGGGAAGTATCTACTTTGACTGAGAGGGGAGGAGGAAGAGCTCCGAGGGTCACCTCACTCTGGGAGGGGGGATATCAGCCAGTTCACACTGGGGGTGCAGGAGTGGGGGAAAAGTGTGTGTGTGATGGGGGTGGAGGGGAGTCTACCTGTTCCCCTGAGAGAGGGTGGGAGGCTTCCACTGTGTCATAGAAATTCTAGTAAACATTTCCTTGTAGTGGCCTCCAAGAAAACAACAAGGTTATACAATTACACAGGAGTCCACGACAACCAGGAATTATAAAAGCAACACGGTGAGAACACAGTCAGGGTCAGTCTTCTGGGCGCTTTTATGTGGCTAAAAATTGCACAGATTCCCAAAAGGATGTGTGATTATCTCACTGCAGCCTGAGCTGGATCTGCAAAGTGAACAGTGCAGATGAATTTTAACTCAAATGGTGCAGTTAAGTCAACGCAGTTTTGCTCAGGTTCAACAAAACTAAGTTTGCTGATGTTAAGTCTCCAGCTTGTGTTGCACTTTTACAGATTTTTGCATGTGTTTCTCTATCAATAGCTGGCTTGAAAGATGAAATTTAAAGAGAGACAGCAAATATGGGCAAAGAGAACAGATTAATGATGTGCAGTAAAGGCTCAAGCTAGCAGGGAGTCCATGCAGAGAGAGTTCACACTCACAGAGTTCACATAAACCCCTCAACTATCATGTCACCCCAAAACCAAAATGACTTTAGTTTGAACATGAACTATTGAACTGCTTGAGCTGAGATTAATTTTTAAAAGCCTCTTTAGATGTGTAGACTCATTTTCAAAGGAGTCCCCAAATTGGGAAAGCAACATTTACGTCTCATGTTTGAAAGCATCAAAAGAAAAGACAGCAACATACATCAATGATTAGTTACTGTTAGTTAGTCAAGCACATTTAAGGGACTGTGTGTCTCAGCTATGTGCAACATTACAACACTGGTTTGGGCATTGAATGTCCCAAATTAGACTTATGATTAGACTTGGACTTAAGATGTCATTCATGACCTCTTAATGCCCTTCAGTAGCTGTTCTGGATTTATGTTCTCCCTGATCACAAATCTAATCTAAATGGCATATACCAATGTTTCCTTCTTCGAATTATTCAAATCTTTGCAGGATGTTGCACTCACAGTATGACCACATTCCATTTGCGGCTTTTGTGATGAAATCCAAAATTAATCACTGTGACCTTTTCATTTTTAGCCATGATTCAGTTGTTCTCTAATCTTGTACGTGAGATGTCAGATTTGCTCAATGTGATAAAAGTGTGATGAACCTGTGAATCAGATTGTGGTACAGTAAAGCATGTGATGGGTGTTTCCCCTCCTTGATTCTCCCACAGTTCCCCAGCAACAGCCTGCGTCCAGACCAGAGGAACATAATGTGGAGCAGCAAACGAGGCTTCACCATCCGAACTCCCACTTTCTACTACATCGGCCTCTTCTACTGCCAAACCGTCATCGACGGGGCCAAACACAAGTCACGTATTTACTTTGTGCACAGACCAGGTAAGCGTGCCGTCCGTGCAGCATCACACCTAAACATGCATGTGTCTCCGTGGTCCTCTTTGACATGTTACTGTATTTTTTTTTCTTCTTCCCCCAGTGAGCAACATCACAGAGGTGTATCTGAACAGCAGTGGACCTATGCAGGCCCTGAAGGGAGAGAAGCTGGTCTTGAACTGCACCGCCACCGCCGAGTTAAACACCAGAGTCAACATCACCTGGGACTACCCTGGAAAGGTCAGGCCTGCATTAAAGTCTGTGGAGACCAGAGAAGCACAGGTTTAGATGACAAATGACCTTTGATAGAGACTGAGCAGGAGTGCATTCATCAGCTACATTCTGCTGTCTGAGAGGAACAGTACACCTCTTCACCCGCTGTGATCTGAGATGTGATGGTCACCTGGCAGGCTGGTAAAGATGCCTGTCTGGTGATGCCAAAGTGCCACTGAGAAACATGTACACACATGTCAAGCACACACATTTAATTTTTTTACTTAAGCAGAGCAAAATCTATCTACTTTTCAATGTTCTCGAAATAAAAATTAAAATTGCCAGAAGAAAAACACACAAAATAGCGCACAGTGTCAGTAAAGCAACACCTTGTCTTTCCTCCACTGATCATACAAGTTCAATCCCCTCCTCTAGATTTTTAGTCTATGAATTAAATCACATTTAAGTACATTGTGAAGGTGGTTGTACCTCATGGCTTTAGTTAGATTTATGACAAATTTATGAAGCTTTATGGATCAGTACTTAAACCATCTGTAAGTAAATTTACATCGGCAGGTGGTGGGGGAAAAAAAAACCTTTATATTGAGCTCTCGAATCCATCAGGAAGCCCTTTTAATGGATAATTTGGCTACTTTCCTTCTACATAATAAAGATGTCAGAGAATCTTTACCATTATCTATTTATTAATAACCTTTGCAATGTTAAAGGACGTTTTGGTTATTAAATAGAGAAAACTACATCTTTTAAAACATTTAGGTGTGTCTTATTCGAAAATTGTGCCAACATTTCTGAAGTAAAAAATATGAACTAGTCTATAAACAGTAGTGAAAAGAAGAAAAAAAAAAACTTACTTACGCACAATTTTATGCTACTTTATTTTTCCATTTTGTTCAAATTCAGAGAGAAATAATGCACTTTCTACTCCACTACATTTATTTTAAAGCTTTTTTTGCTAGTTGCTTCAAAGATAAGGATTTTTACACAAAGGATCATAAATAATAAGGTTTTTGAAATACAACACATTGTTGGATATTAAATCAGTTGTTTTCAATCTCTTTGTCTAGATGTCTTACAAAAAGCAATGTGTTGTTGGGGGTCACATTTCAGATCCACCGAATAGTGATATTTCCCTCTTGACTTCTCATATGGTTTTATTATAAGAAACAAAATCTAAATCTAAATCTCAGATTTATTTGCTGTGTGTATCAAAAACTTTATATAAAGTATTTCAATATAAAGTTGTTGAAAGTCCACCTGCTGCAGCTACAACAGTAATATGCTGATGACACACTTCAGTATTAATGATGTCAGTGGGACCAAACAAGACCTTTAACTTTAATATTTTGCTGCTAATACTTCTGTTCTTTTACTTTAGTTCAATTATCTTGCTTAGGTAAAGAATCTGAATACTTCTTTCACCACTGTTCAAAGAGCATGTGTCATTACACTAGTAAGGCACTGTATGCTGCACAGGAGGTCAAACATTTCAGCAGGTCTTGGATTTTCAAAATAAACTCTGAGGGTACACAGGTGAGCCTTCGGTGTTAATTCTGTGGCTCTTCTTCCTTCTCAACCTTCAGAGTAACAATGCCGGCTCCACTTCCAAAAGGCTCCTGAGACACCAAACTCACATGTTGTTCTACAGTATTCTAACCATCCCAAAGCTTCACCGCTCCGACCGAGGCCTCTACACATGCCGCGTCACCAGCGGTGATCAAAGCAAACAGCAGAAAGTCACTGTTATCGTCTATGGTGAGTGTTTTCCACTGAAATTTCATGTGTCATATATTCGGATCACTCACTGCAGACAGGCTTCCTCATATTATGATGAGTTTCATATTTTCCATGTGTTTCACCAACATTTTTTCTTTACAACCTCAGTCATTTACATCTGCTGTCCTACATGATCATGTGAATGTGCCTCTTCAATTTCAGATCGTCCGTTTATCCGTCTGAAGCCCAGAAATGGATCTGTGGTGGTGGTACAATCAGGACAGAAATCTTACAGAATCTCGCCCAAACTACGAGCATTTCCTGTCCCTGAAGTCATCTGGTAAGAGATCACCCAACTGTCTTGAGTTCAGAGTTTCCCTTTTAATGTTCACTTCCCTGCCTTGCCTCACATGATTGGGCATCAAAGCCTCGCCTTCCTTTCATAATGATTAAAAAAACGCCTGCAAATGTATTTTAGCTTACTGACATCCTTCCTCATTTCTCTGGAAAGGTGTTGGTGTAATGTTTTCTTTAGCAACAATACATAGCTCATCAGATTGTGTCATGGAATCTACCAAAGCAATTATGTAATTTCCCTCATTATAATTTGGATTTATAAAGGCAATCACACAAACCTCTTACTCTCCTTTTTAAAACTTTGCTCAAATTTGTTTTGTTTTTCTCTAAAAGGTTCAAGGACGGCAAGGTGGCAGCAGAGCAGTGCTCCAGATACCACATGGATGGAACTTCCCTGATTATCCGAGATGTCGCAGAGGAGGATGCCGGGACGTACACTGTCCTAGTACGAATCCAGGAATATGGACTCTACCAGAATCTCACGCTCACACTTGTGGTCAATGGTGAGAAAAAACAGATAGCTTCTTCAGTTCCGACTATCTCCCCCTACACTGGTTAAACTTGGTTCTTGCATCTTTCTGTTTGTTTCTCACAGTGAGTCCACAGATAGGGGAGAAAGCGGTGTCGTTGCAGGACCCCGGATCTGTCCCGCGGGGCAGCAGACAAGCCCTGCACTGCACATCCCACGGAGTCCCTCCTCCCCACATCCAGTGGCTCTGGCATCCCTGCCCGCCCAAAGGCCTGTAAGTAGTAGAGGACCAGAAGCAGTGTAGTGTGCAGATTTCCCTGCAAATTGATATTATTTTTCACCTCAGACAGAATCAGCTGCCATGACAAGCTTCACTTTAGGTGTCTTGTTCCTTAACATGCATATAATGTATCAAAAGCACAACAAAGATCCATACTGAGTTTTTATCTGACACAGTAGAACTTTAAATCAACTCAGTATCTGGTATCTTATTAAACTGCAATATGCAAAAGCAGCTAAATGTGCTGAACTCCATTCACATGCTGCCGGAGAGGCTAAAAATAACAATGATGCTGTAATGCTGCACACACATACAGCACAAATAATGATGTTTGTTTTATGTTACTCATTGGTGTGTGTGTGATTTTGGAAAAACGAGACATGTTTTGTCTATTCCAGCGTGTGTTCAGACAGAACTTCCTTCTTGTAACCAGAACAGATGCCTTTGGGGGCCTTTCATGTGCGGGAATGTGTGAAAATGTGTGTGTTTGTTTGTGTGCATGCACCCACGTAAGTGTGTGTATATGTGCGCGCATGTGTGTTTCATTATACCTGTGTTTATATGTTTGTTTGCTTGTGCAGCTCTTTCTTCATATTTTTGTTTTCTTACTGTCCATGTGTCCTTTTCCATATGTTTGTTTAAGTGCATGTGAATATGGAGCCTATGTGTGTGTGTCTGAGTGTATGTGTGTGTGTGTGTGTCTGAGTGTATGTGTGTGTGTGTGTGTGTGTGGCGCGTGAGTGGTGCATTCACAGACACAGTACACGGTGTATCTCAGACTTGAAAGGACAGAGAAAAAAAAACACACTTCAATAGAGGCCAGTTCCGTGCTCTCAGTCACGATTCGTTGGTTTCCAAATCAAACGCTATGATTTAATGAATTTCCGTTCCAGGACGCAGGGTGAGAGGCCTGTTTATTATTGTGATTGCACACTGCATCCTGTGATGCTTTCTCTTATATCTGACACACACTCTATATACAAAGTTCTCATGAGAAATGGCCCAACTTGTCAATGCCAAGAGACGGTCACTGAGTCAAGTCAAACACACACGAGCGCTCGAGCAGGCTCTTGGCAGAAACATTGATTGAGCTGCTCTCTGAGGTCACACACTTATTGTGTTCCTTACGACCAAGTCAGAAAGGTTAAGTATTACCTGAGAGCACCACAGCAGCCGCCCATACTCTATTCCCCCTCCGAGACACACTGACATCATCGGTGTACTTGACCCTTAACCCTGGCAGTCTCACGTGGCGCCATGCCAACGTGCCTCTAATGTGGTTTGGTCCATCCATCTTTGCCAGAACTAATCTACATAATGTACATGAAAATCTTTTTAAATCTCCAGCAGTGCTTAAGGACTAAATCTGGGTTGAGTGACGTAAACTCTTTATCCTGTAGAAATGTAAACCTTTACATAGAAGATGTGGTCATTTTTATTTCTTTATTTTTTTATTTGCATTGTACGAATGTATGTATGAGAGTATCTTTGTCTTGTTTCACAGTAAGATGTCACATGCAATCTGCACATGCATGAAACTGTGCCAAAACCAATTTATTTTATGGTCATTTTGATTAATCTATGTTTGACATTTAGATTTTAACTGATTGTTATTCCCTTAAAATGTGAGTCAACTGGAAATGCATTGCAGCCTCATTAACAACAGAAACAATGAGGCGTAAACATTTTTTAAAAATGCAACAAAAAGGCAATTATTTCTTACAAAACAGACAGAAGACAGCAATATACACAGCAGTTAGACATCTACAGGCTGTGAAGGTGAAGTGAGTGAAGTCTAATTGCACAGTAATGTCCCAGCAGATTACATTTGACCTCTTAACTGGCTGAGTTATGGTCCTTTGTGAAGCTCTGTTCTGGTTCCACTTCAGTGTCTGTACTGTTTCTTTAGACTGGTAGTTTTGGTTGGATCCTCACTAGGCCCTTGTTCTTTGCAGCCCTGCTGCACCACAAGCCTGACGGCGTGCTGGAGGAGGCCCAGGGACAGTGGACCAGGCTGGGCCAGGCTGATGGGGGCCTCGCGCCTGGGTCCTGGGTCCACTCCTGGGTCTGGCCCTGGGAACCGCAGCGCTCTTATCTGGCCCGGGCAGGAGGCGCACTGGGCTTCCTGTGCGAAAATCAGAGAGCTTTTCCTCTCGTTGTTTGGCTTCCTCTCCGACGCGAGACGCTTCCCAGCGGCGTGATTGTCCCTTCGTCTTCAAACGTGGCACAGTCCGCTTCCTCAAGAGCTTGATCTATTCTTGAGAGCACCCCCACACCCCTTCCCCCAACTCTGCTGCCCCCCACACATACCTCTCCAACCCCCTTCCCTCACCAGCTCTGCCCTCCACCCCAGACCAGCATCCTCCACCTCTGCAGAAGAACAACTCCCCATCGCCTCCCACCTTGGAGCCCACCTCCCCTCCATCGCCACCACCTCCACACACTCATCAGTGCCTCTCCACAGCAGCCAGAAACCCTCAGTGACATTAACATTGACCCTAAGTGATGATCCTGATGCTTGCTAAACTGTAAGGGTGAGGAAAGAGACTTGGACCACTGCTGAGCAGTGAGGACCAGGAGGAAACCGGGAGTTAAATACGCCACAACACTAAGGATATAAGGACACCTGCTTTACTGATTATTTATTTATTTCCTTCATTTTCCCAATTCAAGCCCTCCCCGACACCAGGCTGTCCTGTAGTTTTATGCTTTTTTTTTTACATGTCACAGACATTTTGAGCCAGAAGAAGTGCAATTCCATCCATCCACCAGCCACATTTCTGGAGCTGCTTTGCTTGTTTTTTGTGTCCTAGAGTGGTACTATAATGGGTGCATGAACCATGCTTGTCCCAAGCCCTGATCTGATTCTGACATCCACAAAAGCTGTGAGTTTCTGTTCCGATTTTTAGCCACGGGTAGAAGGTCAAATGTGCTTACCATGGACGGGCGAAACAGGAGAGAGGACAAGCTTTGTGTTGTTCACTATGGGATGCCTTCAGTTCTCTATTAAAAGACTGACGGTCAGCAGACGCCTACCATGTAGGAAGTCTGCGCAGACCAGAGACTATCCTGTGTTGTCCACTGTCATCCCATGTCAAAATGTCTTCTTTGTGTGTCAAACGATGTTAGTATAACAGCCCTGTTGTCTTTGTATTGGAAGTTAATTAAAACCTAAATGTATGTGTGATACCACAAGCCATTTTAAAGAGAGTGAGTGCAGTCTGTGTTTGAGTAAAGTCCATGTGTGACAGTGTGTGTGTCAGTGCAGGAGCATGTTGGTGTGTGTGTGTGTGTCCCATTCTACGGGTGTCTGCCAATGTGATTCATTCCATGTATACAGATGTTCTATGAGTAATATATGAATCTAATATTTAATAATTTTATACAACTAACTTACATATGACAAATGACAATATTTGCCAACTCTGTATGAAGATGTATTGAAGTGTTATATCAGTTGTTGTTTTTTTTCGTTTCGTTTTTTTTTTTTTTTTTTTGCATTAAACTTTGCTTATATTTGTGTATTGGTGTATACGCTCTGTGGTTATTTTTGGGGGTTGAGACAGGAACAGACAGGGACAGCGGTAAAAGTATATTTTAGGCAACAAAACAGGACAGGAAGAAAAGGCAGGAGATGACCCCCACTGATACACAACTTGGAACAGTTCATTCATATTTCCAGGCGGCTGCTGCTCACCCTGTTGGCAGGCACACACTGCGTGAATGTGGTACGTTTGTGCATGCATGTGTTCGCTTTCTGTGTCTAACCACCTTTATGTCCACACATCCATCCAACTAATTTTATCTGTGTGGGTGTGGGTGTGTGTGAGGGTGACTTTGAGTGAGAAGGCTTTTCCTGGGAAGCGTGGGAGTGTGAGCTGGTGCAATGTGAGTCTGGATGGTTGGTGGGTGTGGATATGTGCATGCGTGCATTTGCCCAGCATGTTGGCGAATGTGTGTGTGTCAGGCCTGTAGTGTCATGCACAGGGTGGGTCGGCTGTGCCGTCGCACACGATGCCAAGAGGAAGAGTAATCAGGCAGCAGAGAGGAACCACAGTCAGGGAGGAGCTCGGGACAGACAGAGAAGGATGACGACAAGGATACAGACAGAGACAGACGCGGTGACACATCCATAAACAGGCAGAGGATCAATGAACAGAGTGGAAATGACAGTTTACAAGGAGGATGATGGCTAATGTCTAAATAATGAAGGTGCATTCCTTTGCTCAATAGATAGGTAGGTAGGTAGACAGACACAATAAGTTTTACGTAAATGCTAGGAATTTTTACTCCATTGCTCATTGCTCTCAAAGTACAAAACATCCATGCATTCAAACAAGAGCAACAGGTTAAAGACAGGAAAATGACTTTTGAACGACTATGCACACATTTAGATATGTATAAAGGAGCGTATTTAAAGTGAAACAAAGGTTTAGTGTAAATTGTGCAGATTCTGATGATGAATAAATATGTGATGGGTGGAGGCCAGTGTTGCTGGAATGAACTAATAACAGGTATATGATGTACAGTATGTAGAGTGGTCAATGAGTTTAATGGAGCTGTAGATGAAAAGATCAAAATTTCTCCTGGATGTGAAATATGGAGCTACACAACCCTAAAATGATTACCTCAGTCAAACTGAAACATGAACAGCGTGTTTAAATCTTATTAAAGCATAAGTCCTGAAAACAGATTAATTATATGTTGTCCAGTAGCTAAATCTGTTGCCATGGAACCAGCTAAGCTAAACTAACTAGCTGCTACATTTTACCTATGAAACATGAGAGAGGTGACTTATCAGGTTTGTCAGGCTCACCTTTTTTGAATATCCATCATTCAAAAAGAGCTGAAGGTTCCACTATCTTCTGTTACTGTGCAATTTGTTATTCAGCATTTTGTTTTTTCCACTTTCAAGGCCAAATCTACATCCAGTACAGCAGCTGCCATAAGAACTTAAAACCTCTGTGATTTTTTACAAAGTTAAACTGGATCCTGACTTCACTTTGTGAATGCAGAAGAAAAACTGCAAGGCAGCACGAGTACAATGATTATACAGTAACTTGTTTTTTTTTTTTTCCATATTTATAAAAGCTCTCTTCTAATGCTGTTACATCTTTGCAGCTATAATCTCTGCTGTCTAAAGAATGTCTCTACTGTGCTCTCATTACAGATATGTTTGCTATAACCCCCTCTACTTCTCAATGGATATGCCTCCTCTGTCAAACCAAGCTCTAGATATTAGACTGATTTTGGATAGGGTTGTGCTTATCTAAACATACGAAGTAAGCAATATGATGGACAGTTGAGGAAGGCTGATTTCAAGGTTGTATTTTTGGTTATTAGCATAGCGTTGGGATTTTGAGTAAGATTTTCTAACTTTTGAAACAAGACATATTGTGTCCACATACCGTGCGGTTGTGCCCATTCAGCTTGAGGGTTGACGATTGTTTCTAAAGAGAATGTATTTGTTAAATCAGCTGGGTTTAAAAGCATAAATTAATTAAGATAGTATTACGTATTACCTAAGCTCTTGGATAAAAAATGAAAAAAAAAACACACACACACACAAAAAAAAAAAAAACAATGAAGATTGTCAATAAAAATCCAACTGGAAGCTCTTCAAAATACATTTTTTTTTAACAAACAAACAAACAAAAACTCATTAAATAAATTCTAAGGACAAATTTGTTGATTGGACAATGAAGAAGAAAGAATGAATTATTCTGGTCATTAACATCAGCTGACCTAAAAACATCTATTTTTATGAACAGCGTTAAATCTGGGACGATGTTCCAAAACGTAGCACAGTTACTCATTTCTTCTTGTAGCTGTATTCCTTTACATTACATTTATCGTCATATTTGATGGCAAACTTCAAATGAATCTTAATAATCAAATTAAAAAGGGTTCTGTGCGCATCTTACTGCAAACTGCTGCTGAATCAGACAATTCTCAGGAAATTATGGAACAAATATAGAGGCTGGGGCACACTGCTTAATTTAGCCTTTTATTGTGCAAACAGACTAATATTTCAACACTGAAGTCACAGCAGTGTTGAAATATTGGCCTGTTTGTACAATAAAAGGCTGTGAGTTAAGCCGCCTTTTCATCATTCAGTCATCATTTTTATAGAACAGTAATGAGGCACGGAGAAGTAGATGACACAGAATGCAGATTTCACTCCTCAGTGAAGCTTTTCCTTCATCTGAAACTAATTGATCAAACAATGTGGTTTTAGGGCCCCTCGCCAGCTTCTGGATGATGTTTTTCACCATTAAGAGATGTGCGTAAATAACCACAAAGCATCTTGCATAAGCTCCAGTTCCCACCGCTCTGCTGGTGTGTAATCTATGGATTTAGACTTGTGAGAGTCACCGAGGGACCGGAACTCCTGTCCTGGAAATGTGGGATGATTTGTTAAGAATGGGAGGAAACTAATCGACAGGATGACAATACCACCTCTGCATTCTATATAGATGAACAATCCAGCATTACATAGCACCCCAAAGATCCGCTATTGTCAGCTTGCAGGACAGGGAAAGAGGACATGATTGTATTGATAAAAATATGTTGGTGATGAGGGTTTTAATGTGAATCACAGCGAAGCATCAAGCAGCGACGATCAAGGTGTGTCCCTGGTGTGCTGGTCTTCCTCCTGCTGAGCACAGCTGAGAAAAACACACTCACGCTAACACCTGGAGGCAGAATGACTTGTGTCAACACAGCTGAGTCCTTATCCTCATCCTCCTCTTCCTCCTCCTCCTCCTCCTCCTTTAAGGTGTGTTTGTCCAGCGTCCTCCTCGCTGTGGAGCCCAGTGACGGAGGGCCTCCCCCCCATGTCGACTCACAATCGCATCCTGAGCGTTACTCACAGACAAGAAGTGCTTCAGGGGAAGAAGAAGGTAGGAAAAGCACGGAAACACATAATGTGACTGACAGAAGGGCTGTGATTGGGTAGAAGCAGGACTTTTAGTTACCCTAGTGGAGAAAATAAGATTTAAAACACACAAAAATGTTCTTTAGTTAGTTTGTAATGGAATAAAGATCCTAATTGCAGTTATTAGCTGGTCTCATTGCACTGATCTGAAGAGAGTTTGAATCTCATTTACAACTCTCACCACAGAGGACATCAAGGAAACTTCAATGTACACCCAGAACAATAAATGTGCTAACTGGAACCAAAACAATGGTTCTTTACAATGATATATATTTAGTTACAAAAAAAGACCCTTTGAGCAAGAGACTCTTTAAAAAGCCCTCAAAGAAACATCAAAAAATGACTCCTTTAGAAACCATAAATGATATTTCAAAGGATTCTTTAAGGAACTATTTCATAGATAGTTTCTTGTGGACCCATTTGGTTCCATTTTGATAAGAGGACTTTATAATCATTTAAGCAGTTTCTGTCCAATAAATTCAAATCTAACAATCTGACACTCTATAATACATTTAATTTTTTGTGTTCTGGACTGTTGATCAGATGGAACAACAAATGGAAAGACGCCAACTTGTGATTTGGGAAAGTGTGAGGAGCATTTCTCTGTGTTTTCTGATGTTTTATGGACCAAATGATAATTGTATGCCATTACCAGCCACCAAACCAAATAACATCTATAAAAATAAAGAATCTTTAGCACTTTAATGAACCACATGAAGTACAAGAAGAAGCATCCTCTAAATAAAGAGGTTTTTCAGCACTTTAAAGAACCAGAGAGTTGTCTGATTATTTTTCTGAGAGCACACTTTCCTTTACTAAATACTAAGAAAATCATTCCAGGTTCACTCATTAGATCAGTTTTTGCTCCTTTTCTTCGCTAACGTCTCCCTGCACACACACACACACACTTACGGATACTCTCTGATATTAATACTAACACACAGTTTGAGCATTGACCTGCCCCACTTAACTGGAAGTGGGCAGGAGGTCTGGCTCAGCAGCCTCTATTGTCTGCTCAGTGGGTCCATGGAAAATATGATTCCTGCCATCAGTGGCAGAGGTAACGAGCCTGAGCCTTATGAATGTGTGTTTTTCATAATGTGCAAAGCGCCGTTTTTTTTTCATGCGGATGTTTGTTCTCCATAGACGGTGGGGGTCCTGACTGTAGCGGAGGCCTTTGTGTCTGGAGTGTATCGCTGCATCGCCTCCAACTGTGCAGGCGCAGACCAGCTCGACATCCACTTCTACATCACAGGTGATCCCACATAAGGGCAGTCATCGTGGGGGTTTTCTTACTTGTTCACTTGGGGGTTTTTTTTCAGCTGTCATCTTACTTAAAATAACAAGTTTCGATCTTTTTTCAGTCATCTTCTCTTTTCTCTCTTTATTGCACCATCCTAAGCATGACTGTGAGCCTGCATCAGCTGATCTGCTCGATGCTTTCCAACTGTGAGGTCAAAACATCAACTACACAGAAAAAAACATATAAACATTACCTGAAAACATTTGCTAGAATTAGCAAAAAGTTTTAATATCTGATTGTTAGTAACCCAGTCAGATATAAGACCCTGCAGTGGTGAAATGCTTTAAAGTGCGCGATGTGAATTGCTTTCATATCCATGAACAACATGCACACTCATACATTCACTAATGGATCCACATCACCAAAATAATCTTTCCCTCCATCATCATTGCCAATAACTGAAGAGATTGTACAGTACTTATGTGCAAATGTACAGATTTTCATGAACAATATGAGTGAAAGGCGCCATGAAGCCGCAGAACCATTTAAACACTGAACATGTCAGGAAGGAAGATAAAGGTAAAATGTGAGGTAAAGAAATAAAGTAAAGGCAGACGCTTTACTCAACAGGAGAAAAATCAAGAGTGAAAAAAGAGCAGAGATGACTGGGACATAAATTATATAAAGCATGTGTTCAATCCTTAAGGTCATTTCACCATGAGAAGAATAGAAGTGTTAAAGACGTGCAAGGATACAGCAGCAACATCACTGAGAAGAGAGACCTTGATGCTCAAAAGCAATTGAGCTCAAACTGAAGTCTGGTTCCGGACCAGGAGCTGGAGTGAAGTTACAAGTGTATTATAATACTGCTGCTTCTTTTTTAGTTTTATATTTAAGAAATTAAACTTTTCACATCTTAACTTTGGTTTCTTTCAAAGTATTTGACATTTTGTATGAATAATATATATTTTTTAAATGCATTCAGTGGTGCTTAATTATAGATTTTCTAGTTCTTCAATGAACAGTACTGCACATGTGCCAGATACAAGAACTGAAGTGAAACTGAGCAGAAATCTCTGCACGTAAATATGGAACAAACCAAATGTTATGTGACACATCAGGTGAACTAAAATCAGTTCAAGTCTCTCGAAGCATGTGGAGTAAATCACGCAGGTCGAAATGCTTGGCAGAACAAACCAGTGTACGTGCACCACGTACATGCCGTAGACTGCAGTTTAGTGTACAGTGTGGAGCTGGATTAGTCACAAGTGATACAGGTTAAACTTTTTTGAGTGTGTACACATTTGTGTCTGTGTGTCAGGCTGCGTCGAGCTGTTAGTGTGTGAGCAACAGCGAAACAGGAACCTGGGGATCTTATCGTTCCACTTCCCCGTGCAGCGCACTTCCTTGGACTGGCAGGGCCGCTTTATTTCGGGAGGCCTTGGGGTGTTCGGGAAAGATAAACACTATCTGCCATCAGGAAACTCTCAAGCCATTTCCACGGGAAGTTTCAAATGGCTAAAGTAAATAAAAAGCCTTTTCACTGTATTCCACTAGCTGCTTTTACCCACAATAGCCATTCAACATTGTCATCAAAGGTTACAGAAATGGAGGATGGTGGAATCAGCTCTCCTGGTTTCAGGATCCAGACTTGAAACTGAGACGGCCGATTTATCTCAAACAGGAGATCAGTGAAGGGTTGTATTTTGTTCATGCTCCCTTTCCCTCCTCACCTCTTCTTTCCTGTTAATCCATCTTTGTGTGCCCTCTGTGTTTCCCTCAGATGTCCCAGGCGGCTTCAGTGTAAACCAGCAGGAGGAGGCCAGAGAGGGAGGAGACCTCCATCTCACCTGTTTAGCCAATAAGTACCTGTATACAGCGCTGTGGTGGCAACACGTAAATGACACAGAGGAGGCTCAAACCCTTGTTCCCGCCTTGAATAATCAGCATCTCACATTCGGGGAGTTCTCCAACTCACTGGTGCTGTTGCTAAGCAACCTGACAGCCAACGACTCTGGGGCGTACAGATGCTCCGCCCGCCACCTGGTCACCGGGCAGAAGACACACCTGGACACACAGGTGGAGGTTACAAGTGAGTAATCTCAACTTCAAGTTCTTCTCTTTATCTTTATCTTCAACACTGAGAAGGTTGAAATTTATTGACCGAATAGCAATTTTGGAATTTATGAACATTGATTTTCTTTTATTATTGTTATCTTTGGGGCTTGTCTAGGCCTAAATGTTAAATGTTTAGAACCCATGTTTTGGTATCTGAATTTCACTAACCTACCCTAAGCGCAATTTTGTGTATAAATGTGAACTTGAACATCTAATATTTTATTTTTTCTAAATAATTGTCTTTTTAATTGATATCTGAATTTGTGGAACCTTGAACCAAGTTTTCCTTACTTTAGTACAACTTCAACAAATTAGTTTTATAAAAAATGTCTCATACAGTTTTCATGAGCAAAGAAATTATCTATAGAGACCAAAACAGTTTTTTGTACCAGGATGAAAACATGATTATATGTTCTATGATGTTTGGCATTTTAACATGACGGTCTATGGGGGGACTGAGTTGCCTCAAGTGGTCATTTGAGGAACTGCAGTATTTGGCACTTTGGCATTGGCTTTATTTTTCAGCACCAGAAGTTCCACTTGAGTTCAACCTGAAGTACTGAGCAGTGAAATTTCTTAGTTGGGTATTCAGTTGCTCACAGTATGAGTGTAAGTTATTTGCCTCCATACAGATCATGTTATGCAGGTATTTAAAGAGCTCCAGTGGGCAGAATGATTTAGGTGACATAAAGCTGAATAAGGGCCCTTGAACCACAAGTGTTTTGCTCTTGGGGGCCTGTAGACATACATGCACATTCAGCTTCCCTCAAGACATTAATGAGTCATTTTTTAAGTCAAACTCGCCCTGATCTCTGTGTAAACTCACTGCCTCTTGATGTGTCTGTGTACTTATGTTGCACATACATACAAACAAACACCCACACTCTTTCACAGAGGTCTTGCTGCTTGGGAATTGGGTCCCCTCAACTTCCTGGGGCCCCACCCTAGCTTTGCTCTTGCGCTCCAGCTCAGCACCTCTTTCACGTGGGAATGAGCTCTTGTCTGGAGGAAGAGCACACAATGGCACTTCCCACAATGCCACATTTACAGGCCCCTGCACAGGGCTGCAGGAACAATCAGCCAATCAGACACTGTCAGGCCCCGGCCCTCGCGGACAATCATCAATTGTTGTCCAGGAGGAAGATAGGGGAAACAACAATCAGTCGCCGTGGTTAAGTGACTTTTCTTCGTGTCTTTTACGGCTGTTCTCCATACAATCAGGGCTCAACGCGTCAACTTCCTCCCTCGGGATCTCCACACGGGAATTACTAGAGAGACAGGGTGACCAGAAAGAGAAGGGCAGGGGGGCTGGAGAGGCAGAAAAGGGGGTAAATTGAGGAAACATTGAAACATGGGGTTAAAAAGATTTAGGGAGCATAGAGTCATCTGGGCTAATTATAGCCTGTGTGTATTGTAGTGTTACTATAATGTGTGAGAAGCTTCATTGTGTGAACTCATAGGCCAAAATCTGTCCACATGATGCAATACTACATTGTTGTTGCTCTGTCGACTTTCTATCGCAGGGTTTTTTGTTTTTTTTACGGGTGAGTAAAAAAACCCAAGAGGACCCAAACTCCAGCTGACTCACAGGTTGAAGCCAAGGCCACTTTTCTGCACGTGTGTCACTACCAGCACGCAGTTATTGTCCAAGAGTGGCACAGGTCCAGAAAAGTGTGGGAAAAAATAGCACTTGGTTTCACTTCATCACAAATGTGACTTCGACTATAAATATCTAGGACTGTTCTGGGACTAATATGTCAACAAACAGTTTTCAGGTAAATTGCAGTGGTGACAGAAAACACAAACTGCCCAGTGTAAAAAATATTCAAAGCAAGGTCATCTTGTCAAAGATTTACTTGAGATGAAGTCCAAAATATTTATTCGGAATTGTCATTTAAGCAGCTCTCTCAACACTCACTGGCTACTGCTGCTGTTTTTACTGTTCTGTTTTGTAAAGTGAAAGGTCAGCATAGTGTCAAACCAACAGAGAACGGTCATCAGCCTCTGTAGCTATCAATGAGAGAGTTTTAGTGACTTTAAGCTCATTTTTACATATTTTTCAGCCCTCAGTTTTACCATTTCGGTTAAATTTTACTGCTCTCATCAATGTTTTCTGCCACAACAAGCAGCTGTTTTCAAGGAAAAGCTCTAAAACCCCACGAAACACAACCTGCTCAGCATTAGAAAACAGCAAATAGACAGAGTTAGCAGCCAGTGTGTTTGCAGTTTTTTGTTGTTGTTTTTGTTGTTGTTTTTTCACCATATTAACATAAAAAGATGGCGATACGTCAAGTGGTTGTGGCTGCCTCCAGATAGACAAAAAAAAATCTGCAGATTTACAGGATCAAATGTAAAATGATTCATTATGCAGAATGACACCTTTCAACGGCCAATGTGGAGATTATTTAAACTACTTAATACTTTAGATATTCTGCAAAATGCATTGAGTTTTAATTAACAAATCTTTTCTAAAATCTTAACAAATTAACCATTGATGTCAAACAAATGTCGTGGAGTACAAATGTAAATATTTCTATATTCAGTAGTGGTAGAGTCGACGTGTGAAGGGGCATAAAATGTAAATACTTAAGTAAACCACAAGCACTGTACAGAACTGATAAGTTACAAAAAATGCATAAATACACACTCACACTTAAAGAACCAATGGATGTGTGTGTGTGTGTGTTTCTTTAGTTCTGGAGCCTCCGGTGCTGCTTAATAATTTGACAGATTGCACCGTCAACGTCAGCAGCTCGGTGACCCTCAGCTGTCCGTCTCAAGGCGTCCCACCTCCAACCATCACCTGGTACAAAGACGAACGCTCTCTGCTGCAGGGATCAGGTAAACTAAAAGATCCTCAACATGTGAAGTGTTGCTCTAACCTGGGGTCTGAAAGTTATTTACCACTATCTTCAGGTATCGTCATATCAGCAGAAGATGGCACCCTCCATATTGACCGAATCACAGTGGAGGACCAGGGTCTGTATACCTGCCAGGCCACCAATGAGAGAGGATCTGCAGAGAGTTCTGCCTATATATGGGTCAACAGTGAGTATCTGCGTTTTCAAGCCTTTGATTGGCTTTTACCTCAGACTGGTGGATGTGCATTGTTCCCATGTCTGTAAATAGATGTATAGTCTGGATGTATAGACGCACAGTTCACTAGATCACATTGTTTTATGTATTATGTGGTATTCATGCACGGAGGAGGTGTGTGTCAGTTCTATTAATGGAAGATGATGAACACCTGTTTATCAATTTCTGAGTAAACATTGATCAAAGTGCGTCTGAACATAAACACACTCAGCCTTTTGTTCAGATGCCCCCATTCACACACCCACACACACACACACACACGTCCGGAGGTAGTAGAGCAGGCAGGACCACTGTGGTTCTGCTACCCCCCTGTTTGAGTGACGTTCCCTGGCAGGAGTGGCGGACTCGCTTCCCTGTCCAGGTCTGGAAGGAGGAGGGTGTGTATATGTGTGTGTGTGTGTGTGTGTGTGTGTGTGTGTGTGCGTGCGTGCGTGTTGTTGTTGTGTTCTGATCAGTCAGGAAGGAAGCTGTCTCCCATTTTTATTTCCTCCGGAAGGGCCCGGCCTGCATCTCAGAGAGGCTTCCCGCTGTAGTGAGTTGGGCACTTCTTCATCCTCCCATTAAAAAAAGAGAAAAAAATAAACTCTGGATTTAATGAGGAGGATGGATGGCTGTGTTTTTGGATCGTGGTGTGACGGTGAAAACACAGTGCCGCACAGTGATTCTGGAAGGAAAATCCAAACATCAAGCGCCCATGTGAAATGATTTATTCACTCAGTTTGAAACTTTGATATGAAATAAAACTATTTTTAATGTCAGAGCTGCACTGACAAATTCAGTTTATATTTACAGTAACTGCAGTTCTCCAGATTTCTAACAACACTGAAAGTCCTGCGCTGCTCACTGCAAAATCGCCTACGTGCGATAAATAGATGCAACCTAATGGAAAATTTAAGCAATGTTTTTGCAACAGTGTGGGTTTGTGTGTGTTCACAGGTTCCTCAGAAGCTTCATTTTTGGAAATTCCCACTCTCACCTGTACCTGTGTGGTGGCCACTCTCTTCTGGCTTTTGCTCACACTTTTCATAAGGAAACTGAGACAGGTGAGGGGAAACAAGAAAAAGTTGTTTGGGGATTAATGAAAGTAATACAGCATAAGTTAAACAGTCTGGGTTTTCGACGTATGTCTGTAAATGTTCTTTTGTTGAACTGAGGATATGTCTTGCAAGCATCTCACTCCTTCTGCTCTCTTGAATCATTTTACTTGAGTCATGAGTTGCTGTTGTTGGTGAGTATGACTGCTTTGATGAATAAATGTGTTTCCCAAGGTTTTTTCTAGGGAGTGGCAAGCTGTGTGTATACATGTCTAGAGACGCATACTTCACACTAATACAGACAACTTATAGAGGTGTACAGCAATTTTGTAGTTATTTTTCATCTTCCAAGTCACATTTGTCTGTTCCGTGTCACGTACAAGGCACAACACAATAAGAAAAACAATTTGAAAGTTGAGGATTTAAAATTTGTTTAGATGCAGAATAGATCAAATTGTAATATACTAGAGTATCTTTATTTGATCACTTTCAAAATGTGCAGGAATATTCTGTGTCATGTAAGCCACCACATGCATTACCTGTAATAATATAATAAATAGTTGTAATAAATATTCATTATTTAGCTACAAGAACTACATTTTTTTTATCTTCCCAGTTTGTTTTTAAGATAGATAGATAGATAGATAGATAGATAGATAGATAGATAGATAGATAGATAGATAGATAGATAGATAGATAGATAGATAGATAGATA